CTGTCTTAAAGGCCCTTAGTGGGCACCCTTACCCAAGGAGACGGAAATCCGTGAGGTAGGGGAGGTGTGACATTTTTAGGGCCGACCTTTTCTAACCCTTCCTTCCTTGTGAGAAGGCAGCATCGCTGCAGATGCTGGTTGTCCGAGGGAAACACCTTACTGCTGTCACACCCCTCTGCAGTCAGCAGTACGACTTCGCCCTCAGACCTTGGATAGCTGCTTTTAGTCTCATCGTTCTCCAATCGACCTGCCTGGCATGGTAGGACCTGCAGGAACATGTGTTCCAGCCAGTATAGCTCGGTTGGGTCATCACGATAGGCAAGCCCGACCACCACGTCAAGGTAGCAGCTTCGGTCGGGACCATTGGTGACTATCGTCTCGCGGACCCCAACCAGGTAGTCTACATCTACCAACATGACTCACTCCACTTGTCAGTGACTTCATGGATTTCTGCCATGTTTTGGTCTGACCGCCCCTAGCTTTCTTCCAACCTACTCCTACACTACAAAACATAGCTTGTCGATGTAGTCGGTGATCAGGGATTCGTAACACATGTCCCAACCACCTCAACTGAAGTTTCATTACTTCATCTATTGATCTGCCATCCTTACCTAGCACCCGTTTCCTAACGACAGCATTGCTTACTCGGTTGTCCCACGATATACGAGCAATACATGAGTACATAGGTTCAGGTTGCCATACCACATTAGCACAGAAACGCAAATATCACTTCAAGTCCAATAGTGGTAAAGATAGTAGGAGTATTACTGGTAATGGAAAAGATTAGGGTTCGAAGATATTATTCGAGAAGTATAATTCAGTGAGATAACTTTAGAAAGAAATAGAGATGACGAGGAATTCAGAAGGTTAGAATTTGATAGAACACAATGAATAAATGCACCCACGCTGTTGCAAACAATTTTAAGCCATGTCACTCAAAGTCTCTAACCATCGGTGACTATTGTTTCGCAGACCCCAATCAAGAAGTGGTAAGATCAGACCGAATGCTAACTAAATGACTCAAAGTCGAATAAAAAGATAACCTATAATTAGTAAATGAATTGTTGTACTATTTGAGCAATCAATAATCCAAGCAACAATAAAAGCTATCGATTATAAAATGAATCATTTTTATGAAATACAAGCGTAATTAAAACCCATTAAGATGACTTTTTTTCAATGTTATAAGTGTACTCAGTAGTTTTTTTTAATTTCTGAAATGTACCATTTCGTTCTCTATAATCAATTTTGGAGCAAATCTTCACTAAATTTTCATCCTGCTTATGCAAAAGTTGATTAGCTGTATAAAATGGCTTATTTTCACCACATTCTACTAAACCAATCAAAACCATGACTTTTTTTATCTAAAACGAAACTACTTGGCTTTAATCTTACAGGTATCCAATCAAAACTTAAAGGCACAATTGGTCCATCCAATAAAACAGCAGTAATAAAAAGGTTATCCTGATTTTTTTCATTTACGTAGAAACTAAGGCTAACTACGTAAACTTGAAATTATTATGGACAGAAGAGATATTTCTTAAAAGTCAACTAATACAGTTGAGATAGAACTTGAAAAAAAATTCATCATTGAAATTCGAAAGAATCTTCACAGAAACACATCATTTATCGGTCTCAAAGACGGGAAACAACTGTGAACATACAATGTAACAGATTATGAAGTATATATATATATATATATATATATATATATATATATATATATATATATATAATGTTTGAGAAATCGATCACAGTAATAGACAGACAGACAGATACAGCGCAGAACTTCGTACGTACATACATCAGTTCACGTTGCCATGCCCCATCATCACAGAGACGCAACTGTCAGTTTAAATCCAACAGTGATAGCAATAATAGAAGTATTAGCAGTAATGGAGAAGATTAGGGAGCGAAGATATGATTCGAGAAGTATAATTCAGTAAGATAAATTTAGAAGGAGAAAGGTAGAGATTATGAAGAATGCAGAAGCTTAGAATTAAAAAGAACACAAAGAGTGGATGCACCTGCGCCATTGTAAACGATTTTGAGCCATGTCATTCAAGGTCTCTAACCATCGGTGACTGTCGTCTCGCGGACCCCAACCAGGTAGCCTACATCTACCAACATGACTCAGTCCACAGATAATAGAAAACTTTATAAATTCACCATGCTTCCCATAATCTGAATAATAGGTATCTCATTATTATTCAAGTCAATAAATTTTGCGACATTATGCGTTTACTATAATTCAGTCCTCAGATTTTTTTTTAAAAATTTTTAACCAAATAATGAACAAGCTTAGATTTGGTGATTATTCTATTATAATTTTAGTTACTGATTTATAGTATAAACATAGAACATGTATCGTATGTTGTTAACATATATGTTGTTTACCAAGGATAATATTAAATTAGTCGACTATGAGTGAGGAAAAATGACACTACTGAATCGGAAAATTAGAATTGGTTTGAAAAAGGCGAATACTTTAACTAATAAGCCACTGTTCCACATAAACAAAGGATAACAATTCAGGATAACAATAGCTTTGTAGAAAAACACACAAAAGTAAGCAGGATTACAAAAAACTTTTAAAATCATCTGTTATGCCACAATTGTGACTTGAAATCCGGTGTTCAAATACACAAAGTTAGTATAGAGATAAATAGTAAGGAAGATATTATACAGAACTCACCATTAGGATCCCACCAATGATTGGCAAGACGTTTGAAGGTGGCTTTTTCTGTTTCTTCAATTTTCGTACTGGAAAAATTCTGATAACTTTTCATTCCACTGAGAGGTGGGCAACATTTTTGTTTAAGTAATTTGACAGTAGAACACAGAACAAGTGCCATAGCTTCTTAGCTCTGTAAAGAATATATAAAAAGATCTACCATGAAGAATGTCAACAATTTTATTAAGAGCTAGTTAAATATAAACATAAATAATAGAAATATGAAAGGTATAATATCAGTGTGACGACGGATACTACTTAGAATATACACTAGCTCAACAAACACCACTTACTTATCTTTCCAAGTTAGTGCTAAGGAGAAAAGCTTCAATTTTCAAAAGAAAATTCGACATTTTCCACAGAATATAAATATGTTTCAATAGAGAATACTAATAAACATCAAACTTACCCATAGAATATCATTTTTATAATAATTAAATATTCAAACCAAAGTACTCAAAATATATCAGATTTAGTGCAATCGAAAGAAATATTTTTATTTACACCACAAGTTAGAAAAGGCCAAGGAACACATTACGTCGAGAAATACAGAAAGACATGAGAAGAATGAACAAAAACTGGAAAAAAAAGTGGAAAGGGAAGCCCAGGACAGAGTTGGTTGGAGAAAGCTGGTCGGGGGCCTATGCTCTATTGGGGGTGACAGGCGTAAGTAAGCAAAAGTAAGTACAAGTTAAAAAGATGGATTTCATTTTGAATGTGATAAACACTAAAAGAATACATGAAAAAGAATCCTACAACTACTTATTGCATCAATCTACAAGTTAAAGACTAATACACAGTATATTGTGATTAAGTAAGCACCAATTGATCAGTTGATCATATACATCAACACTGAAAAGTAAATAACGTCTAAAATTCATCTAAATGGTTGAAACGGATATCAAATAATTAAGTTTTTTTTTTTATCACAACTATTGAGTATAAAGAAATAGTCAAACACAATTGGGTTCAGTGAATTTCTAACTTATATATATATTTCTTCAGTAAACACCAAAACTGTGTGAGCGTACATTGAAAATAAAGTAAACTTTAGAAAAGAAAGAAATAATTAAATTAAGAATATCTAAGAAGAAATCGGAAAGTTTAAAATGAAAAACAAATTAAAAAAAACGTTGAGAATCAGTGATTCAAAATTAGCAGCATAAAACACAGTTCAAGCATCCATTGACTGATACTGATATCAATGACAGATACTTTAAGTTTCAAAAAATCACATGCAGAAAATGACCAGTTCTATAATTTACAATGGAGTTCAACCCTGTCGGGTGTAGGCAGTAACTACCAAAGACAAATGGGTGAGGTCGCGCAAAATCCCTAGATCAATCAGAGTTAGACATTAACACCGTTGGATGCCGCCAGCCCAGTGGTCCGATGGTTAGGCGTTCGCCTACAATGCCAAAGGTCCCGGGTTCGAATCCTGCGAGGAGCAGGAGTCGTGGATGCGCACTGCTGATGAGTCCCATACCAGGACGAAACGGCCGTCCAGTGCTTCCAGGTTTCTAATGGTGGTCTAACAATGATTGATTGATGATTTCAAATGTGTAAAAAAAAAATCGCAAACCTCCAAAACTGTCCCCCAAAATTTACAATTATTCATATTTTAATACATTTTGATAGAAAATACACAAAAAATTTTTAAATTTAGTGATTACTACCATATAATAATACTATACTCATCATAGATTATAAAATTTCTTCACCAAACAAACTTACATGCAGGACGATCAGGTGATTATTTAACTTCTAAGTAATTTTAGGACGAATCAAAAGTATCCAACTATAAATCTCTACGAACTATCCTACTCAAATATCTTTCTAGCTGTTACAGCGAATCTTAGAATATCGCTTACCAATCAAAAAAAAATCTCATGTTATGATTTTAACGAATTATATTCGCTTCAAATAATTTTTAACAACTTTCACTTGGTCGCATCTATAAACGGGATATAAATGCTCTGTGATGTGTTTTTTATCACAATACTGTGTACATACAGTTGACAAACTGTAACACTTTTCTCTTAGTGCCACGAAAGTGAATGTGTGACCTATACAGACAGATCTGAACATTATGATACGAACCGTTTTATCATCTATTCAAAACAGAATGAGAAGCGGCTTTCAAAAACGTCTGTTAAAAACATTTTCGCTGTTCAAACCAGATAGTTGTGCAACTTCCGACCGGGAACTGAATGGGCAACATGCAAGACTTAAGATTCTCTCTAAGGAGTTACTTTGCGTATTACTTCCCAATCACCATATTATTAACCGATTAGTCTATTATTTGAAATCCCAGAAGGAATATAACAACAGTCACACAGCTGCATAACCACGAACGCACAACTACCCAGACGCAGATCCCAACGAATAAACAGTTCATTAATTCTGTTAAGCAAAGTTCCAGTCTTTCTACGTTAACGAATTAGTGAAATAGACATATTCAACAGCACTGCCATATTTGGTTTATTTCATTCCGTTGGTCATGAACTTGCTCTGATTCGTTTGGTTCTTCTGCAAATTGAACTCTTCGGAAAAAAAAATACGAATTAACAAAAATGGATGGAGCCTAGCAGCGGAATCCAGGACGAGCGTTTCGTCCTACATGAGACTCGTCTTAAGCTGGATTTACATGCAACTCAGAGGTGGAATTCACTTTAAACTTCGTTTTAAACCCATTACCGTCCAATTTAAACGCCATCGTGCCATCATCCATTTAGCTACAGAGCAGAGCATAACAATTATAGGGAATATAGTTACATCAACCGCAATATACACCATCTATTACAAATGATCCAGTATTTCACCCCCATCACATAATGCACTAAATTTTACAGGTACAAGTCGAATAGATACATGTCGACAGAATGATACGCATACACAAAGTCATCAGCGAACAAGGCTAAAGAAGACTAAATACAAGTAGATATGTTATTTTATTGGTAAATTTATTTATTATTAAAAAGGAAATTAACACATATTTACAGACAATTACAGTAGTAATATCAAATTAGAAAAGTAATACAGCAGATAATAAAATACTAGTCAAGAAATGATGCATACAATCTAGAAGGGGAAAAACTGGAAACATATCACAATGCATATTGACGACAAGAAAGAATTCACATTAAATAATCAGTCAGTCAAATGATAACTGTACATAATATACATGAAATGAAATAGGGAGGATAGGGAGTCCATAGAGAGAGAGAGGCAGAGAAAATGCATTGATAATCATGATAACCAACAATGTAGTAACAGTAGATGTACAGAAAAGAAATAAATCACAAAAATCAACATTACTTTTGGTCGAGGTTGACTTTGTAGGCGAAATGAAGTATATTGCCTAGTATTAGACATTCTAGATGCGAGTTGTTGCCCATGTAGAATGAACTGTTTCCATAAAACAGATAACCAACCATTTAATTTGACTACAATAATAGGAATAATGAAAAAAATATCAATTGGTATTGTTGAGTAAAGACAGAATAAACTTTATTGCCGAAAACAAGATTGAGACAAAATTGGGACGTACGATATCACAAATTCAACTTCAGTAAACACACACAACATATCTAAGTAGACAATCATTGTACACTAGTAATACTTATGCCTAATAAACATACACCTTGAAAGAGAACAATTTTACCAACTACTACTACTACTGCTACTGTAGTGAAGGAGAACACAGGTGGGGCAACCGAATTGTATTTAGCGAAAATTACAGAGTTACTCAGTAAAATAGGAGAATCATATCGTAAATCGTTCATTTGCAAAATATCAGTTCATCATATCGAACTGGATTGTTCCTGTTGCAAAATATCAATCCATTGTCACTATTCATGCATTTTATACTAATTCCATTGTATTCCCACTCTTCCTTTCTTGATCTTCCCCCATCTTCTGCTGCCAGACATTACGTTGACTTTCACGTCATATACTACTTATAAGTAGCTCACACCACACTACTACTGCTGTTATTTGAAATTCTATTACGAACTTAAATATTACTCACTTGACAGTGAGATGTAAAGGGTTCAATATGAGATCGTTGTTAAATTTTTTTCTGTTAAAAAACGGTTAAACAGAATACACTGCCAGTTTAGGCGACATGTAAGCGTTATATCACGATAAATATTGATGAAATGGTAACTTAGAAAACTAATTTATAGACTAATATCATTATTAATAATAATAATAATACCAGTTTCAATATACACTCATGATATTGTTGTTATCAAGTAAATAGATTACAATAGATTACCAAAACATGGCAGAAATGGATGAAGTCACTGACTAGTGGACTGAGTCATGTTGGTAGATGTAGACTACGAGGTTGGGGTCCACGAGACGAGAGTCACCAATGGTTAGAGAGCTTGAACGACATGGCTGAAAACCGTTTGCAATGGCGCAAGTGCATCCATTCGTTGAGCTCTCTCAAATCCTAATCTTCTGGAATCGTCAACACCTCTACCTTTGTCTTTCTAACTTTATCTCACTGAATTATACTTCTTCAATAATATCTTCAAAACCTGGTCTTCTTCATTACAATTAATACCTCTACTATCTTTATCACTATGGGATTTGATTTGACATTTGCGTCTCTGTGCTAATGTGGTACGGCAACATGAACTTATGTACAAACGTACGAAGTTCTACGTTGCAACTGACTTGATGTATATTTAGGTCATTGTGAACTGTCAGTTGACTCATAAACTACTATCACACTTAATTACGATTGATGTTTTATTCTTAATTTATCGTTTAGTCTGCCCTATTCACAACCGCGTTTTCGTGTGTTCCTGTATAATTGTTGTGTTGTTCATGGGACGTGTAATTCGTCCAATCAGAGACTGAACATTAATTACATTATTCCCCGATACCAAGTCATATAAAAGTATTCCATACAAAATTGCAGTAGAACACTTTAATAAAATCTTAGAATAGCTTACATGTACGAAAAACTAGTATAAGTTGCAATAGTCAATCTTACATTTTAAATATGGCTGCTTTTTAAGAAGTGTCGAATCAAACTGAATTTTTCTAGTGCAACAGAGGTCGTCTAGTGGTCAAGATACTCAACTTTCGCCCGCCAAATACCAGACTCCAGTCTCGGTTCGCCTATTTTGGTCTTAGCAACCAAATGAGTAGTGTCTTACTAGCCCTCAAACTTAAAGTTTGGTTCATCCCTAATTACTTGATGAACAAGTTCAATGATGTGGAAACGTTCTCGCATATTACAAAATCTTACTTACCTGAGTGATGTAAGCATTTGGATCCGATAGAAGAGGAACGTATAAATGATTTCATAGGTTCATAGAACTGAAAACCTCTCAAATTAATGATTGTTGATTTGCTTGTAAAATGATCACTTGGTTCATGTATTTTTATGGATATCTCCGATGTCCTGAAAGAAACAAGTATCAAGCTATTCACAGAACCTCTTGTAAGCGCATATTCAATCCCTTGAAGAAACATTTTTAGTGTAGCAATAAGATTTCAGTTCAAAAGTCGAATGCCTCAACTAAAAGGTCCCACGATTATATACAACCATACAAATACAATACAGATGTGCAGATTTAATCGAAGCTAAAACCCTACATTTACAAACTTTTTACCGTAAATCATAACTTTTAAGTCCACCAGATATCTTAAGACTGATGTAACTGGAGCATAATACAGAAAACCGGAGACTAAAGGTTCTTAGACCTAGGTAGTCGACTGATAATCATCAATTATTATCAACTAATAGATTTTATAGAGGTTCTATAGCTTGCGGAACACTTCAAAGCAGTAACCTAATGACAATTTTAAATCAAACTACGGAAATTACACATCCTAATCCAACGCCAAAAAAGTTAAGCATTAAAAAACTTGATGTCTAGGTCTAAAACAACATCATTAGAACTTACGATACTTCAGATCCAACACAATATGGTTCAGCAGGCTTTTCATATGTCGGACAATATTCTCCAAGACGTGCCTGACATTTGTGAAGTTCTTGTGTACGCTCATATAAACAGTCTTCTAGCAACGCGACCTATAACCAAAATACATGTACGATAATATTAGGCTATTATACCGTCACAATTAACAAGAATGAATGTTCTATAAACATTTGAATAACAACTAACTCACTTGTTCATCCAATCCGGAAATAGTTGCTTTTAAATGTGCACGTTCTACAGTTGCATGGGATAAGCGTTCTTTCAAAGTAAGAAACTCCGCATTACTTGATTTTAACTGATCCATAGCCATAATCGCTTCTTCTTCAGCTCTTCTTAATCGCTGCAACAATTGAGAATATGATAAATCTTCACTGACACTTTGGCTGGGACTAGTCAGGTTATCATATTTTGATTCATACACTGAATGAAGCATCGAATTTCGACTATCGTTTATTACCGGTGGTGCATTATTGTTTCCGATTATTGATACTCGTGTGCATTTGTCAGACACAGGAACACTATTTAACTCCACCTCACTCAGCATACTCGGTTCGTGTACAATACTGTATTGTAAAGCCTCACCAATAAAAGAGACTTCACCGTTTACGGGAGTTTCCGGTAACGTTACGTCACCGCCTAGGGTCAGTTGAAACAAATAAGAACGAAAATCACAATGCTTATTAAATAATTGTGTACAAAGTATAAAGCAATTTTCACTCAAACTTCATCATACCAACTACATATGAAAAGCAACACATCAATCGGTTAACGATTCTTAAAACATTAACAAATGAGATGCCCCAAATCAATACTATCTGGTTAGTATCCTGATTTCCTTATTCCGTAGAGATATATATAAATAAATGACCACTGAAGTACAGTTTAGTTTACAGACATACACATATGTAAACAGGTTTAGTTCCGATATCGTTATGTAATTCACATGAAATACGACAGTCGAATGTAGAGATCAGCTAATCATTTTCACCACTGCATTTTTATTGTCGACTACTTATTTCTCTAATTATCGAATTAAAAAGTCCGCTCTATCCGTGATCAGGATGTTTCAAGTTGAGTAGGCAGCAGAAACTGAAGAAAGATACAGTCTGTAAAATGAAATAACAAAAACCAAATAACAAGGCCATTGAACGTTTAAAACGCACCTACAATAAATGATTCCGTTTGAATACATTTACAGCTTTCCACGGGCAGATATGGTGAAGCGTTATTATATCCATCTATAGGGTCAGTAGCTATGTCAACTTTTTGGATCAAGTCGGTTTTGGGAATGTCATCCAATAAATCTGTTTGGACGAGATCATCTATAACATGGGGCTTGTGTATTGCTTTCTGAGTAAATGTACTGTTCTCACAAACAATACTTGCATGATTCATCATGTTCCCTTGACGATTGATTACATCAGGAAACATGTTCATTTTAGACTGTTTACGTTGTAAAATATCATTGAGACGCTGAAGCTTCTGACAATTTGTACAACTCGGGGAATCAGATGAGTTCTTATTCTTTAGACCATTAAGTTCACTTGGAGACTTGCTTTGTGATATAAGGCGATTCAACTGCATTCGTAGAGTTCTTGCATCTGAATTCACTTCACCTAACTGACCGCGAAGTCTTGATGCCTCACGATCAGCATCTTCTCTTTGATGTGCCATATCTGATCTCAATTGAGTAAGCTCATTTTCAGCAATAGATAATCTCAGTTTTAAATCATCGATACTTAAAGTATCTATATCTTGCAGTTCATTAGTTGTGTGTAAATTTTTCAGTGAATTTCCAACGAACACTTCAAAGAAAATGTAAAAATAATAATATTTGCATTATATGAATATAATATTCAGGTTATTGTAAGTTTAGTTGACACTTACTCTTTATGCCTACATGACAAATTTGATAGGGAGAATACAAGTTGAATAATCAGATGGTATTGGTCACACCCAACTAGGCACAGGTCTTGATCCATCTATTTCGCTTTGAACGACCGCTTAGTATCAATAGTCTTCACACAACGAGTATGGCTCACTCCCAAGTACCTGGTTTGTGAGTTGATTATTTTATCTATCTTATAACCACTGCCAAACAGAATATGATGACAGCGGAGCAATCAAACAGAAAACGCTAGTCATCAGACGTATAGCAGTTTAGAGTGATCAAAATGTTGAAATTACCAAATTCTTTATCTCACAATGTATGCATTTCAACATCTATAACAACTTGTGATCATTATGTGATACCCTAGAACTCCATCAAGAACGACAAGAGAATACAAGGGTTCCAACCGGTATAATGGGGCAACTTCAGTCACTTGTCTGCTGCTAAGGGAACACTATAACGAACCTTCTATAAAACATGCTGAACAGAAAACATTAATAGGCTGTATAGAGGAATTCTTGGTGTAAAAGAATAAAATTAACAAACCTATTAGCCAAACAGACAAGAGAATACAAGGACTCCAACTAGTATAATGGGGCAACTTCAGTCACTTTTAACGAACCATTTATACCATTAAACTAACCCCAAGAGATTAACACAACAAATTAACAATTGAAAGGCAAACAACAGATAGGCGTGAGACTCGGTCAGTCACTGGAGACAGTTAACAGATTGCAACATATTCAAATCTTATAAAATACAAACCTCGTATATTTTGACTCCAACAATCATTATTCAGGTCAGCTTTACTGAACAATAATTTAAACTGTCCTAATAAAGCACTTGTTTTGGCTAATTGTTTACGTAAATCAGTAATTTCCATATAGTTTCTACGTTTTTGTGCTTCATAATCGTTTCGATGATGACGAATTGTATCAACACTAGAGTTCAGCTCATGTCCCATATGATCTAATCGTTCTTGTAATTGATTAATGCGTGTTTGTTGACTTATACGATATTTTTTCAAACGGTCCAATTGACGAACAGCATTCAACAAGGCTTCTTCTAATTCACACTTAGTTGGTTCATTGGATCCGGGTAAGCCAGACTGTTTTAACGATCGATTGAGGACATTTATTGGATTGATCAGTCCGTATTTTAATAACTAAAAGCGAAAGTGATAAATGATTTACATAAGAGAATATTTTCAGAAATTGTAATGTCATACTTTATGCCTAAACATATATTGGCCACAAGTTCGGTGCCCTACTCCACACATAAATGATGTGAAGAATTTTATTAAAGTAAACAGTTTAATGACTGTGAATACAAAGGACTTTTGACTGTAATGTCCCCTTATATTCGATATTTATTATCGAGACCAAAATCCGAGATGTCAAGCCGGTGATTATAGCCCATTCTCAGTATAAGTGAACATACTGCTTTCTTCTTCCTAATATTTTATAGGTCTCAAATGCTAATCATTGTTTGCTTCATTTTAACTCGAGAATTACCACAATACTTCATTGTGACATTATGTGACGCCCAAATCAGATAAATCATCGCTTTTCAACCTACAACCGCAGTAAGAACAATAGGTATGGCTAGAAAGTCGTGAGCAGTATACAGAATGGTTCAAGCTAAACTGGAACCAATCAATATGGTCCAAAATTATCATCTAACGTCCACCGCTTGACATTGAGAGGGCATTTGAGCACACGGCCAATCCAAAAGGTAGTGAAGTACCGTTAGCACATGCAATCTAATGGGTGCCAGTAGCCAACAATGGGTTTATGCGCTGTTTGTTCCCTCAACATTTTGGAGCCCATATGCATCAATTGTTTTAAATCATACTTTCCCAACAACCCTACGTACCGCCAACAAGGTTTAAGGACCGGACATTTACTCTTCAGTCTGCCAATCTAGCAAACATCCCTGAAGCTAAATAGCAATGGGCAGGAATTTACTGACTGAACATATAAGTCCATGTGAAACGAAGGCAATGCATATTACAAAACCAAATCTCATGTGAAGTCTAGCGTATACGCCGAATATAGAAGACGAGACCGGAATTTATCGACAACCTTTTAGAGATAGCATGGTGAATTTCGAGAGATTCACCAACTTACTATGGTTAAAAGAGGATTATAAATTAGTGAGGAGTTAGGAATGGGATTTACAGCTGGATGAGTGAGCCAAGAATTACGGTTAGATATTCTCACGAACTAACGTAAGCTATGATACTAATATGTCTCGCGCCACAATCAGAGGTTTGTAATCTCAGACGCCTATGAAGAAGCCCCTCTACACGATTTGCACTGAGATAAATCTCACCACGCCACATTCCACCAGTAGGGGCTCTGATCACAGATTAAGATACGAAACAAGAAACTGAAACATTTGTCCAGAAAGCTAATACGATCTTCAAAAAGCGTTATCACTGAGTTCGCCAGACCCCTCTAAAAATTACACTACTGAAAAAAAGGTTCTTCCGAAGACTGTCGCTAAAAATCTGAATTCCCAGTGGGATTTCTAATGACAAAGGTCACTTTCTCATGCTTTTACAAAAATCTGACTCTTTCCACTGCAATCCACAACATAACCCGTCTTTAATAGCCATTTTCGACAAAAATTTACAATCCATACTGTATGTGGTACCTAGATTTGCGCCTTTTCATATGATATCGAGATCTCACAAGTGTGGTGATGTACTCATCTTTATGTCAGAGCGGATGATATGCTAGAGCAAAAGTTTTTTTGTGACTGTCCACTACTGATAAATTCGAAAAAGGATTATTTAAAACCCTTATTAATAGTTTGGTACATACTTTCTCCGTATTGATAGAATTACCATTACAAACATGACAAGTGTCTTTGAAGCCGCCATTCCGCTGGTTCTGATCGACAATTTCATCAAAATTTACGGGAGATGTAGTACACATTACCGACAAACCCTAATAAACGGACAGTCACAACAGATGACTGCAAACTGAAAATGCCAGGTAAGCCAACCTTGGAGGCGTTAATTATATCAAGGTCCAATATCCAATAACGTTTTCACGAGCTAGTACAAACCAATTGATTTCTTTACGTTTGATTCCTGCTCTTGCGGCAAGGCTTCAGATATTTGGTGATACGTAATTGATTGGGGTCTAGCCGCTCAACTGAGCTAATTCTAGTCAGTTGACCGTTGTTTATGGGTTCGTATGTCTCGGGATTTGAATGAAAACGTTTGTTTCAGGGCAGTAGGGTTTGTGGATACCAGCAGCCATCACATTACCAGACCGGAAATCAGTTATTTTCAATGTGGGGAGTAATAAGTATAAAATTCCAATGCTATTTATTATGAATAAAATTTCAGAACTAAATAATATATAGATGAATTTAGTTTGTTAATTGGTAGTGAAGATTGTGAGAGAGGACCGTAGTTTAAGCAAGGGTGAAGTAACGAAGATGAGAGGCGAGATAGATTAATTGAGTGATCTGAGGAGATGGCAATGATAACAATTAGCACGTCTCATGATATGCATCATGAACAGCTCGTACCAGAGGGAGATGGTAATCCGTATGTGAACATGTGATTATCACGTCTCTTCTTCACGACTTATTCTCCTGTAACTCAGTGAAAATTATCCCAAATGCTGGAGTCTATCATAGTAAGGTTTATTTTTCAACCCTGTCACCCATCTGGTTGCTCGTCTCAGCACTCGAACCAGGAGATTTATGTCTCTTTTAAGCAGAGGGGGGCTCGATGACGTTGTGATCCTCCAAGTGTGGGTGCGCGTATGTCTTAAATAATATTCAGAATATTTGTGTGGTGATAGCACCAAGTTATCTTCGCACAAAGTGGAGAGTAGCATTCGCCTTGGCTGCATCACCTATATAGTTCGGACTCGTATGGAAGCTTCCATTCGGTTATTAAACCGAGATAGCGCTCTAAAGAGACATTAGGGCGCGGGTTTCCGGTGAGGGTGTAAATCGTTTGCGTCGTGTGAGGCAGCATATAAATAACAATCCATATGTGAGTATGTGATTATCAAGTCTCTTCCTAAAGCTGTCTCCTGAGGGGGATGTCGTCACCTCGGCTGGGAGAGCATTCCAAGTTGTGACGACCCGCAATGAGAAAAAGTGTGCACGAATCTGAGTATTCGCTCTTTGATGTGCAATCTTTCGAGGAGTGCCTCGAGGGGAGTGGTTGTGATGCATCGGTAAGATGCTCACATTAGGATGGTTTGGTGTGGTTGAAATGTTATACGCCATAATCAGATCACCTCTCATTCTACTGTAGCTCAATGGAAATAATCACAAGAGCTGGAGTCTATCGTCGTAAGGCTTATTTTTCAACCATATCGCCCATTTGGTTGCTCGTCTCTGCACTCGATCGAAGAGGTTTATGTCTCTTTTAAGCAGAGGGGGGTGCGATAACATTGTGAACCTCCAGGTGTGTGCGTGCGTATGTCTTAAATAGTGTCAAAAATAATTGCGGGGTGATAGCGCCAAGTGAAAAGTCGCACTTGCGTTGGCTGCATCCCCTACATAGTTCGGACTCGTATGGAAGCTTCCATTCGGTTATTAAACCGAGATCGCGCTCTAAAGAGACATTAGGGCGCGGACTTCCATTGAGGGTATAGGTCGTTTGCGTCGTGTGAGGCAGAATATGCATGACGTGGCACTTCGTTTGGTTGAGTTTCAAACCGTTTTTCACTGCCCATTTCTCAATAGATGTAAGGCCTTTTTGAAGCTCAGTCGAGTCCTCTTCGCTTCTAATGGACCTCCAGATCGCATCGTCTGCGTAGAATAATGCCGGTGAGCTAACTAAGCCTAATAGGTCGTGGGCCCAAGATGGTCCCTTGTGGAACTCCCGATGTGCCAGCTCGCGTGCACTCTATTTACCTTGGTACGAAACTTTCTATTCTCAAGGTGGTTTCTGAGGCAGGATAGGAATGGGGCATTGAAGCCAATTTCCACAACCTTTTCGATTAAACGTGTGTGGGGTACTATGTCAAACGCTTTTGCAAAGTCGAGAAATATTACGTGCACCGGTATTTTGAGGTCCAAACCGGATCCCTAACCGTCCCATGCAATGAGAAGATTAGATGCACACGACATGCCTTTCTGAAACCCGTGTTGAGCTTCATGGAGTATTTTATTCTTATCCATATACTCCGTCATTTGTTCGTCCATCAGCCCTTCCATAACATTTGGTAGTATTAATAGTATTGCGACTGGTTTGTAACAGACTGGGTCCTTTCTATCTCCTCCTTTGAAGATTGGAGAGAGAGTAGCTTGTTTCCATTCAGCTGGGAAATGGTGTGTGAATGCCTGAACATGCCACATATCGGTGAATAGAGGACTTCTGCACATTGTTTCAAGACTACGGGGCGAATTTTTTCACAGCCTGGTGACCTACCTAGGCGTAAGGATTTTAGTTTCCTGAGTACTAAACCGTCAGCTGGTAAAGGGTTGGCGTAGTACTCTGAACATGTGGGCGCCTAGTTTAACTGATCGGAAAAGTTAGTGTTGAAGATCTTGGCCATCTCTAGGTTGGTTAGGTCTTCCTCTTTTGGTCTTTTGAGAGAATAATAATAATAATTTATTCTAAAATAACGAACATGGTACAAGAGGGACGCAAATTTACAGGCAAGATCGAAATGTTAAGATTGGCACTATATTTCGTTCAAAATGGTGTACAGTTACTGAAAAATTTCATAAGATTCATCGGCTCCAATTAGATGGCTAAAATTTTTCACATAAAATTAAAGATAATTTTGCAGACTCAACAATGTACAAAGCGAATGATCGGCGCGAGTTACGACGGTTGCGTTACGACGAGCTTCTCAATGCCCGTGAAACAATGCAAGGTCTGCATGTAACAAGGGTTGACCAGGTAAATGTGCCAAGAACTGGTTGATAAATTAACAAGCCCTTGAGCAAGGTGACCAAGTCTTCGGCAAATTCCCAGACTAATACATAAGTATTGGAATAAGTTGCTGAAAAAGAGAAATACAGAGAACGGGGCGAGGAGCAGAATATAAAATATTCCTGTTCAAAGACGAACAATGACTCAGCACATACGTTTCTGGACAAAACAAAGGTATGTTTACCCAGACGTTTTTTTTCGTTAGAACACTAACTATATACCTGCATTTATGTAGGTTAATGAAGACAGTTCAGCAGTAAGATAACGAATGGACATTTAATCGTATGAATAGAAGAAATTCAGAATAACCAAATTGTTAGCAACAGTGTTTATTTACAGAATATAATAATGAGGGTCAGTGATCTTATGCTTTTATTTTTTTATTTATTCTGTTTCTTTTTAACTCTGTGGCTCAAGAAGTTATGAATGAGCTCCTTTTTAGTATATTTGTTTAGACCAGCTTGTAATAGGATTTCTCGGTAGGAAGTAAAAACCAATGCAAGGTGAGCTGGAAAGAGGAGAAAAAGAAAACAGAGTTGGAATAATGTTAAAAATTAGTGAGAAAAGTGATGTTTTTAAGCAGGCCAGGTTTTTGGGGAGATAAAAGTTTATTAAACTATTAATACTTCAACAAGAAAGAATTCACAATGCTACAGGTTTGATAGGTCTAGCATTTCGTTTCGGGTTAGCAAGTAGGACACTGTCATCGACGTGTGCTGACTCTCTCAACGTGGCTATATCGAGCAACCTTGAAGGTCTTCTCGTGTCGAGAAATTACGTAAAAATGTAAGGCTGTTGCAAAGATTTGCGTATGAAAACATGCGAACAGGCAGATAACTCTCGAAGAAGACCGACCTGTCGATGTTGAACTCGAGTTGACACCTGAGGCAGTGCTCCGTGATGTGAAAAATTCCTCAGGCAGACGCAATTTCGTGCCGTAAACTAATTCAGCGGCGGAACATTGAATATCTGCCTTTAAACTCGTTCTGAAACATATGAGGACGAGCGGTAAGGTTTTGTACCAATTCTTGTCTTCATGTGCCCGAAGAGCACTTTTAAGTTGGCGATGAAACCGTCCGACTAAACCATTCGAAGCTGGGAGGTAGGCGGTGGTGCGTATGCGCTTCGTACCAAGCAGCCGGGTTAGTGAGGAGACTAATTCGGACTCGAACTGTTGTCTTCGGTCAGTTGTGACAGTCGAGGGACAACCGTAAAGCGGTGAGCAACTGTTTCCGCCATAATAGAAGTGATGGAATAAGCTGCGGAGCATCTTGTGAAACGATCGATGTTGATATTGGCAACTAGTTAACAAAACAATGACGGAAGATCAATAGTAAGTATAAGCCACAATTTATTGCTCTTCAAGAACATGTAGAGAACGTGAAACCATTAGTTGGTTTTTCTCTTCTCTGTGAATTCGTTGTAACAGGCAGTTGAACCAGTTTGCATAAAATGGCATTCTGCTTTACTTTCTCGTCTTTCACAAGAGCGGGTTTTACTTTATCTACCGATGTGGTCTCTGACCAGCAAACATTGATGGTGCGGGCGATAACTTCAAACAACCCATGTTTGTGGGGCAGAACATTTCGCTTGCTTTCGGCTCTTTAGATTGATGAGACAACTAATCAGTAACACTGAGGTTGCTCTTATACGCTTGCTACTTCTGTGGTTCCTGTTTCCAAAACTATACTGAGGTCGCTTTTCTGTCGAGACACCCGCAACATTCTTACTCAGGCGCTTACAGTATGACTTAGAGGTTGGCATTCAATAATAATAAAAATAAAAAAAACAGTTAGACAGTGAGAAACTTCAATCGTCAATGTTTTCTTTTTACAAACTCTACTCTTTCGATTTCAACGTACATAAATCCAGCTTCTTACTTCGACTTCTCTTCTATTCACCTGACACTGCACAACTCTTCCTTCTTTTTTGCTGTACTCCTTTATCTGTGGGTTATATTCTTATTTTCACATAATTTACTTTAATTTAAGTGGTCAGTATGAATTTTATCTCGACTTACTACTGTATTGACTACTTCAACATGATAGGTTAAGTAGTGCTTTGGTTATATATATACGCTTGCCACACTGCTGCCTTTTTCTCTCTCTTTTCTGCCTTTTCAGAACCCCATTCACAGTGGGAAATCCATGGAGCCTCTAGGGAACATGCACCCTATGTACATGCCTGTCTGGATCACATCTCGTATCAAGCGCGTTCCCAACAAATTCACTACTGATCTCGGCTAATCGCCAAGAGAACCAATTGTGCACCTTCCTTATTTGTACTCTACTATTAAAAATGTGTCTGTATAATACTGTTTCTGTCAGTGACATGGTGTAAATATGCAATCAGAAACTGACTTTTATACTTAATTTAACTGCTATAACTTTACAGTAATTGTGAAAGCATTTGTGACAATCTGATCTAGCCTGTAAACTGGCGTGACTCTTGTAACGTAGTTATTTGAGAATAAATATATATTATTATTCCATTATCCGAAAGGCGTCGGAATAGGAGTGTAAGATGTTTATAATGTTCATCTACATTTGATGATGCCATTAGCAGATCATAAATATAGACGTGAACAAAATCGAAGTCTCGCGCTATGCTAACGATAAAGCTTTGGAAAGTCAGATAAGCATTCAGTAATCCAAATGGCATTCGTAGGAACTAAGAAAGACCGAAAGGAGTCGTGACAGCGGTTTTCTCGATATCTTCAAGAGCGACTGGGACCTGATGATATACTCGTACCAGATCAATCTTAGAATATTTAGTCATGCCCTTTAGAGGTGCCTTGATATCGTGTATGTGCGGGATGGGATAGCTATCCAAACGTGTTACTACGTTTAATGCTCGGTAGTCGCTACATGGCCGCCAACTTATCTCATCCCTTAAGACAACCATGTGCAGTGGTGAGGCCCAAGGACTGTCAGAAGGACAAACAATATCTGTAGCTAGCAAAGTGTCAAACTTACGTTTAGCGAGAGGCAATTTGCATCGTGCCAGTCTCCGAGGTCGTGCCATGACTGGTGGTCCATGAGTGACGATGTGATGCACCACATGATGAGTCACCGATAGATTCTTCTCCAGTAGTTTAGTTACCTGGGGAAATTTTTCGAGTAAAGCGTGAAAAATTTCATCACGCGAATGAAATACCCATGTGATTCGGTTTGCAATATGGTCCCCAGAGAGAGACTTCAGGGCATAGACGAACATTTGACGCTGTTTCGTGATGCGGCGAATCCCAAATTGAGATACCAGTGCCGCGAACCAGACTTCTGTGTCGAAAGGAATGTAAGAGACAGGTTATAAATTAGGACCAGGTCTTTGGGATTCTTTCAAACTATCGTCATTTTTAAGTCTATATACCATTTTAGAATGCCATTGTACTTATAACATATATCTATATATGAAAATATCAATATAAATAAAACAACAGTAAAAATAGAAAGAAAATGGGACAGAAAAATAAATCTCGCGCGCAAAGCGCGACAGATAGTATTGAGTACAAATAAACTATAGGTGCACAAAATAAAAATTATTGTCAGCATTAAGTACAACAATGAATGTCTATATTTCAGCAGTTGTGTTTCCTTCGTAAAAGTATATCACTACACATTATTAAACGACATGCCCCAAATCAATACTATCTGGTTAGTATCCTGATTTCCTTATTCCGTAGAGATATATATAAATAAATGACCACTGAAGTACAGTTTAGTTTACAGACATACACATATGTAAACAGGTTTAGTTCCGATATCGTTATGTAATTCACATGAAATACGACAGTCGAATGTAGAGATCAGCTAATCATTTTCACCACTGCATTTTTATTGTCGACTACTTATTTCTCTAATTATCGAATTAAAAAGTCCGCTCTATCCGTGATCAGGATGTTTCAAGTTGAGTAGGCAGCAGAAACTGAAGAAAGATACAGTCTGTAAAATGAAATAACAAAAACCAAATAACAAGGCCATTGAACGTTTAAAACGCACCTACAATAAATGATTCCGTTTGAATACATTTACAGCTTTCCACGGGCAGATATGGTGAAGCGTTATTATATCCATCTATAGGGTCAGTAGCTATGTCAACTTTTTGGATCAAGTCGGTTTTGGGAATGTCATCCAATAAATCTGTTTGGACGAGATCATCTATAACATGGGGCTTGTGTATTGCTTTCTGAGTAAATGTACTGTTCTCACAAACAATACTTGCATGATTCATCATGTTCCCTTGACGATTGATTACATCAGGAAACATGTTCATTTTAGACTGTTTACGTTGTAAAATATCATTGAGACGCTGAAGCTTCTGACAATTTGTACAACTCGGGGAATCAGATGAGTTCTTATTCTTTAGACCATTAAGTTCACTTGGAGACTTGCTTTGTGATATAAGGCGATTCAACTGCATTCGTAGAGTTCTTGCATCTGAATTCACTTCACCTAACTGACCGCGAAGTCTTGATGCCTCACGATCAGCATCTTCTCTTTGATGTGCCATATCTGATCTCAATTGAGTAAGCTCATTTTCAGCAATAGATAATCTCAGTTTTAAATCATCGATACTTAAAGTATCTATATCTTGCAGTTCATTAGTTGTGTGTAAATTTTTCAGTGAATTTCCAACGAACACTTCAAAGAAAATGTAAAAATAATAATATTTGCATTATATGAATATAATATTCAGGTTATTGTAAGTTTAGTTGACACTTACTCTTTATGCCTACATGACAAATTTGATAGGGAGAATACAAGTTGAATAATCAGATGGTATTGGTCACACCCAACTAGGCACAGGTCTTGATCCATCTATTTCGCTTTGAACGACCGCTTAGTATCAATAGTCTTCACACTACGAGTATGGCTCACTCCCAAGTACCTAGTTTGTGAGTTACATGTTTATTTTTTCCCGGAGTATAACTTTTATATTTTTAAATGTATACAGTGTGAGGCGGTGAATAAGTTGATTTCTGCCAAATAATGAACTTAGTAATTGTAGGATTTTGATCACTCTGAACTTCTCTACGTCTGATGACTAGCGTTTTCTGTTTGATTGCTCCGCTGTCATCATGTTCTGTTTGGCAGTGGTTATAAGATAGATAAAATAATCAACTCACAAACCAGGTACTTGGGAATGAGCCATACTCGTAGTGTGAAGACTATTGATACTAACCGGTCGTTCAAACCTATATAAATGGATCAAGACCTGTGCCTAGTTAGATGTGACCAATACCATCTCATTATTCAACTTGTATTCTCTCTATCAACTGTGTCATGTAGGTTTAATAATTAAGTTATACGTAAACTTCCAATGCGTACTTTGCTTGCGTGTTTATCCCTAATGAGGCATAGACAACGTAACGTAATCCTTCAACTTACTCTGTCCTGAGCCTCTCTCCAGTTCTGTGCAATCTTCGTTCATTCTTCTCACATCTGTCTCTATTTCTCAGCATATTATGTTTCTAGTCTTTTCATGGCATTAAGCGTTCGGATTGGGGGCTTGTTTTGTGACGCAGTTGGGTGGTATCCTCAGTGTTTGTCCTATACACCTGATTCCCCCCTCCGCTGGAATCTCTTGTTCTTTCACTAAATAGGTTGTTGTTGATAGTGTATAAGTGACGAATCCGAAGTATTTTGCGTAGAAGGCTGTTGGCAAATACTGGTACCTTCTGGATGCCGGCTTTGCAATTCCCCAAGTTTCCGCTCATTCAGTAAGACTATCTTGATATTTGTATTAAAATTGCTACTTAGGTGTTTGTTGATGGTTGTTTTGAGTTCCGGATGTTGTTCAATTGTTAAAAGCAGCCCTTACTCTGACGATCCGCGCATTCACTTCTGCATCAGATCCAACGTGCTCATCAATACTGCTTTCCAGCTATGTAAAGGTTTTAGCATCCTTCAAGGGATCTGCATCAAGAGTGATTTGGTTGGCTCATGTTGTTTCGCAGAATCTTACTTTACCCTTTATGTATGTCAAGAAGTGCTGCTTCAACACTAGTTTTCTATTGCATTTGTGTCTGTGTGCGTTAGAAGAGTCAAATCACCCATGAAGTCTAGACCGTCCAGCTGCATCTTAGCTGTCCATTTGATACCGTGCTTCCGTCCATATGTTAACATCATAATCTAGTCGATAACCAGGAGAAAGGGAAAGGGTGACAGTAGACGACCTTGCCTAACACCGGTCTGCTTCTCGAATGGTTCTGTCAGCTGACCTCCGTGCACGATTTCGCAGTTTAATCTATCGTAAGAATTCCTTATGATGTTGACTATCTTCTCAGGCATGCCGTTGTGTCGAAGAAGCCTCCAAAGTGTTGTCCTGTTCACACTGTCAAATGCCTTACCATGGACAATGAAGTTGTTGTAAATTCCATTCAATTGATTGTTCCACAATGTTCCATAATGTTACAATTGGGTCCGTGCACGATCGACCCTTACGAATCCAGCATGTTGATCTCGAAGTTGGGCGTCTACAGAGTCCTTCATTCTGTTTAAAAATACCCTGTTGAAGACTTTGCCTGATATTGAGAGAAGAGTGATGTCTGTGTAGTTCTTACACTTGTTGAGATCTCCTTTCTTTGGTATTTTGAAGAGGTATCCTTCTTTCTAGTCTGCTGATATTTATTCTTCATCCCAAATGTAGTTGAATAGGATGTGGAATATTTTTGCAGTTGCTGCCACGTCTGCTTTCATTGCATGTGCTGGAATGTTGTCTGGTCCTGCTGATTTGCCGCTCTTGATTTGTCTGATGGCCATACTGATCTCTTCAATTGTACGTGCGCCAGCATCGATTGGAAGGTCTGTGGCTGCTGCTTCGACGTTGGGTGTGTTCAGTGGGGCTGGTCGGTTCAAGAGTTCCTTAAAGTGATCTACCCACTTGTTTCGCTGTTCCCCAGTGTTGCTGATTGCTGTTCACTGGTCATTCTGGTTTACGATAGTTTCCAGCGAGCCTCTTTGTTGTGTCGTACACTTGTCTGATGTTCCTTTCTCATGAAGCTGTCATTGCTAGATCTTCCACATATTTACGTTTGTCGTCTTTGATTCTCCTCTTCACTCGCTTGTTTGCTTCTGTGTATCGAGCTTGTGCATCGACTCTCTGTTCTTGTTTGACTGTCACTGACTGATGCTTTCTCGTTTCTGCATGGTTGTTTCCTCTCTATCGAGTAGATTGTGCAAGGCCTGGAACCTATTTCTGAGGCCTATCTTGAATTCGTTGAGCTATCCAATATCCCGAAGAAAGGCCATATTAAAATTTCGTGATGTTATCTGCCCCGTTGACGAATGCTTCTTGAGTTTTTAGTTTCATTTTGGTGACAATCCAGTTGTGATCTGAGACTATATCAGCTCCTCTCTCTGGATTTACCTGTTCGATCAACATTTTGTCGTGTCCGATACTTTGTAGTCGTTTACACTCATCTGTCAATGTTCTGAGTGTGACGTTCGGGTTTTGATCCAGTCGGGTTAAAAGTCTGGTTCTGATCTCAGCGTCTTGCGGTGACTGAAGAGCTTTGATGAATATTAAGCATTTAAATTGGTCTTATGTCAAAGAGCGTAACTTCAACCGTTCATATTCTCTGTTGACGATGACTGCAAGGACCGCATATTCATCATCTTCGTGTTTCACCAGATTTAGACACTGATATCTAATACTAAACAATGAAGATGATTCGCAAAAATTTCTCTGACAGCTTAACTACCGTGTCCTCAAAACTGAGCTCTCGAGGCAACTTCGGTAATGTGATCAACATAACGTGCATATTCATTAATTCCCAGCTTACGCACCAACAAGCAAGTCTTCAATGCATCGTCTTGTTTACCGAATTCAATTCTAAATGTATCTTCCCAACGTTTGAACCACGTCAGAAAAGTATTTCCACATTCAGGATTATAGATGAATTCTGGTATGCTATTTGCCACTGCTTCACAAAACGTATTTAGACTAGCATATAGACTCGAACACTGGATGTTGAGTTAGAGTCTCCAACAACCGCATTTGTGCATCTAATTGTGCTTGCTGTTGTTGTAGTATTCGGTTAAGCTGATCATCCGAAATAGGCATCTTGAATTTTCTTTCATTTTATCCGTCGCCACTGTTTAACGATTACTTAGATAATTCCTAGGTAATTACTATTGCTTAGTATTCTCTGACCACAATACACTGGAGAAGTTCCAAAGAATCAAAAACACGGTGGAACAGGAAAGATTATATTCCAAATAGCAAGTTTAAATGGAAATACGAAGCCGAAGGCCAAGGCAAAAATAGATACAACGTTAGTTTCTTAGCATTTACATGAGAAGCTTCTGGATAGAAATTCACGTGACCGACTGGATTAAATTTAGCCAATCAGCATGCAGCTAACAATACGAGAATTCTCCAAGAATCGATCAGCGCTGATTGGATAGGAAATTAGCCAATCAGCGCACAGCAACGTAGTCATGCTTTAATTCCATCTATGTCCCACTAACAACAGGTTTGCAAATCTCACCGTTTTCGTTATTTTCTCCCAGTTGATGTCGTTCCATGATGTCGTCGTATGCAGTGTTGTCCACGCCAACCTTGGTATTTAGGTCTCCCATCAGAATGATCAAACCCTTTGATTAGCATCTGTTGACGATTGACTGTATCCTGTTGTAGAATTGATCTTTAACGTCTTCATTGTAGTCGTTGGCAGGTGCGTAGCATTGGATGACGCTCATTGAAATGCCTTCCTTCTTTGCTTCGAAGGATGCTCTGATGATCTTAAGTCTATGGGATTCCTATCTTATCGAGGCTTTTAGTGCTTGTCTGGACAGCATCAACGCAACTCACTGTGTATGTGAAGCATTTTCTTCATGGTTGGAGTATAACAGCTGCGGTTTTGAATATAGTCTTTGTTGTCCAAGCAGTGTCCGATATGTTTCACCGAATCCAAGCACCTCCAGATTGACTCTATTCATTTCCGTTGCAGCTTGTATAACTCACGCAGTCTCCCACATTGTATGAATATTCCATGTATCTAAATTATTAGTTTCTGTGGTTCTGAGAAGCGGCATCGGCCTCGTGACTTCCTAGGGAGCTCGGCTTTCATGATGAGACGCCATAACTCTTCTAAATGAAGACTTTCTCACTCCCAGGGCACGAGTCTGAAAGGGCTTGAAATGTTCTTTCTGGTTAGCGTTTTTATAACGAGTTAGTTTACGGTTGGATAGGTATTCCAACCTCACGCGAAATATTTTCTTATCCGGGCTTGTAACCAGCTGTAGCAGCAGAGAGGCTCTAGGTGTAGTTGAACTTGCATTAAGAAGAATATTATCTTCATATAATGTAACTATTGTTACTTTTACAGTTTGTTTGAAGTGTTCGTTGGCAATTCACTGAAAAATTTCAGCACAACTAATAGACTTGTGTTCCTAGATCCATTGAAAGAATCAAGTATGAATTAGAAGAAGCCTTGTTGAATGCTGTTCGTCAATTGGACCGTTTGAAAAAATATCGTATAAGTCAACAAACACGCATTAATCAATTACAAGAACGATTAGATCATATGGGACATGAGCTGAACTCTAGTGTTGATACAATTCGTCATCATCGAAACGATTATGAAGCACAAAAACGTAGAAACTATATGGAAATTACTGATTTACGTAAACAATTAGCCAAAACAAGTGCTTTATTAGGACAGTTTAAATTATTGTTCAGTAAAGCTGACCTGAATAATGATTGTTGGAGCCAAAATATACGAGGTTTGTATTTTATAAGATTTGAATATGTTGCAATCTGTTAACTGTCTCCAGTGACTGACCGAGTCTCACGCCTATCTGTTGTTTGCCTTTCAATTGTTAATTTGTTGTGTTAATCTCTTGGGGTTAGTTTAATGGTATAAATGGTTCGTTAAAAGTGACTGAAGTTGCCCCATTATACTAGTTGGAGTCCTTGTATTCTCTTGTCTGTTTGGCTAATAGGTTTGTTAATTTTATTCTTTTACACCAAGAATTCCTCTATACAGCCTATTAATGTTTTCTGTTCAGCATGTTTTATAGAAGGTTCGTTATAGTGTTCCCTTAGCAGCAGACAAGTGACTGAAGTTGCCCCATTATACCGGTTGGAACCCTTGTATTCTCTTGTCGTTCTTGATGGAGTTCTAGGGTATCACATAATGATCACAAGTTGTTATAGATGTTGAAATGCATACATTGTGAGATAAAGAATTTGGTAATTTCAACATTTTGATCACTCTAAACTGCTATACGTCTGATGACTAGCGTTTTCTGTTTGATTGCTCCGCTGTCATCATATTCTGTTTGGCAGTGGTTATAAGATAGATAAAATAATCAACTCACAAACCAGGTACTTGGGAGTGAGCCATACTCGTTGTGTGAAGACTATTGATACTAAGCGGTCGTTCAAAGCGAAATAGATGGATCAAGACCTGTGCCTAGTTGGGTGTGACCAATACCATCTGATTATTCAACTTGTATTCTCCCTATCAAATTTGTCATGTAGGCATAAAGAGTAAGTGTCAGCTAAACTTACAATAACCTGAATATTATATTCATATAATGCAAATATTATTATTTTTACATTTTCTTTGAAGTGTTCGTTGGAAATTCACTGAAAAATTTACACACAACTAATGAACTGCAAGATATAGATACTTTAAGTATCGATGATTTAAAACTGAGATTATCTATTGCTGAAAATGAGCTTACTCAATTGAGATCAGATATGGCACATCAAAGAGAAGATGCTGATCGTGAGGCATCAAGACTTCGCGGTCAGTTAGGTGAAGTGAATTCAGATGCAAGAACTCTACGAATGCAGTTGAATCGCCTTATATCACAAAGCAAGTCTCCAAGTGAACTTAATGGTCTAAAGAATAAGAACTCATCTGATTCCCCGAGTTGTACAAATTGTCAGAAGCTTCAGCGTCTCAATGATATTTTACAACGTAAACAGTCTAAAATGAACATGTTTCCTGATGTAATCAATCGTCAAGGGAACATGATGAATCATGCAAGTATTGTTTGTGAGAACAGTACATTTACTCAGAAAGCAATACACAAGCCCCATGTTATAGATGATCTCGTCCAAACAGATTTATTGGATGACATTCCCAAAACCGACTTGATCCAAAAAGTTGACATAGCTACTGACCCTATAGATGGATATAATAACGCTTCACCATATCTGCCCGTGGAAAGCTGTAAATGTATTCAAACGGAATCATTTATTGTAGGTGCGTTTTAAACGTTCAATGGCCTTGTTATTTGGTTTTTGTTATTTCATTTTACAGACTGTATCTTTCTTCAGTTTCTGCTGCCTACTCAACTTGAAACATCCTGATCACGGATAGAGCGGACTTTTTAATTCGATAATTAGAGAAATAAGTAGTCGACAATAAAAATGCAGTGGTGAAAATGATTAGCTGATCTCTACATTCGACTGTCGTATTTCATGTGAATTACATAACGATATCGGAACTAAACCTGTTTACATATGTGTATGTCTGTAAACTAAACTGTACTTCAGTGGTCATTTATTTATATATATCTCTACGGAATAAGGAAATCAGGATACTAACCAGATAGTATTGATTTGGGGCATCTCATTTGTTAATGTTTTAAGAATCGTTAACCGATTGATGTGTTGCTTTTCATATGTAGTTGGTATGATGAAGTTTGAGTGAAAATTGCTTTATACTTTGTACACAATTATTTAATAAGCATTGTGATTTTCGTTCTTATTTGTTTCAACTGACCCTAGGCGGTGACGTAACGTTACCGGAAACTCCCGTAAACGGTGAAGTCTCTTTTATTGGTGAGGCTTTACAATACAGTATTGTACACGAACCGAGTATGCTGAGTGAGGTGGAGTTAAATAGTGTTCCTGTGTCTGACAAATGCACACGAGTATCAATAATCGGAAACAATAATGCACCACCGGTAATAAACGATAGTCGAAATTCGATGCTTCATTCAGTGTATGAATCAAAATATGATAACCTGACTAGTCCCAGCCAAAGTGTCAGTGAAGATTTATCATATTCTCAATTGTTGCAGCGATTAAGAAGAGCTGAAGAAGAAGCGATTATGGCTATGGATCAGTTAAAATCAAGTAATGCGGAGTTTCTTACTTTGAAAGAACGCTTATCCCATGCAACTGTAGAACGTGCACATTTAAAAGCAACTATTTCCGGATTGGATGAACAAGTTAGTCAATAGTTAAGTAAATGTGGTAGCGGCGATCTTAAATGCTGACCTAAATGACGACTTATGGAAAATGCGATAGTAAGGTATTTTATTTACTGAGAGAAATCATTGTTTATCCGAAACATTGAGAGCATTTATGTCATTCTGTAATATTTATTATTCCTGGATTATAAAAACGTTGAAAATAATTAGTATTTTGGCTTTACGTTTAATTATAAAAAATAATAGTAACATAAATTATACACATTATCGAATAAATAAAAGGTAAAATTAATCAATCTGAACAAACAAATTAGATTAGTGATCAATTGTAGACATTTAGAAAATAGTGTTTAAAAAACAGCAGCGGTATAAATCAATAATATACACTTGATTTTTAAAGTATTAAGCGATCATTTATATCACTCACTTATTAAGTAAATGATAAAGAAATGGAGCAAAATGATTCAGTCAAAATTTTTTAGATGAGCGTTTGAGTTTCTGATTGTAAATTATTGTCAACAACAGCAGCACTACTGTCATCAGATGAATGACTGATATTTTCTTGTACCGATTCTAATGCTTTTGTTAAGGTGTGCGGAGGAATACGATGCTTTTTGCCTGAACGTTTACTATGTTTTTTCTTTCTGCGTACATGGCGCGGTTGAATATCAACAAAAAAGTCATCAACAGGATTATTTTCTATGAATTTGGATCTATCAATCAAACCAGTTATCATTGATGGTAGAAGAGAACTTAATGCTCTATCTACCAATCGATGAGGGAGTGACAGCTAAAACAGGAAAAATAAGCACAGTGTACATGGTTACAAAAGTTTAGAATAACTCGTAACAATCAAAATTAACAGCAAATAATAAGAACTGTAGGGGATGTTCGATTCCCAGAACTCGATTGATAAATATCCTTATTTTATTCTTGCTGATAATTTTTGGTCAAGGCATCACAGTAGCCTACTTGGACACTGGTTCATCGTTTTGTTCTCGTTATTCGTCTAAGGGGAACTCGTAATGGTTTAAGTATACCTATAGACGAGCGTAACAAGAACATAACAGATACACAAGTAAAAATAAGACTTAACGCAATAAACTTTGACAACAGCTACCTGGAGGGTGTATAGCTTTATCTGTAAATTAATTAATCTTAAACATTACTTAAAAATTTTAGTAAACTTTGAATCAATCTCTATGTAGAGTGGCCTGCTGTTAGTATGTAGCAGAAAGAATTCCTACTAAAATGATCAATCTTTGAAGCTTTAAACAGCGCTTCTGGTAAATTCCACGTCTTGACATTTTAGTGGTGGTATGGCAACTTGAACTGATGTACGTACGTACGGAGTTTGCAGTGAGTCATTCAATGCCTAGCTCACATGACTCGTCCCACTTGTATTTTGACGTTGTCAATCATTCGTCGCTCGCTTGCTTTCCGGCGCTCGCACAACGACTTTATCTTTGAGTGCTTGCAGTCTGCTGAACTATTTGTGGTGTGCCACAATAAACGTATTCAACACCTAGAGCTCGCCTTCTGATTTATAAACCGTCAGACGCTATTTAGTGACGATTGTCTGGACAAGCTAATTACAAAGCCTAAGAACACGTTGGATACCGACCATCACGAAACTAGTGATACATTGCTCACCACGAGTTCTACGTTGCAATTGACTGACTGACATTCTAGTTCAAACATCAAAACAGAAAACCTAATATTTTTTTAAAATTCAGACTGTTTAATATCTACTAGGATTAGGAAATCCTATATTACAATTGTTAATTTTGAATCATTTATGTCTAACGAAATTAATTAACAACATACCTTTAAGTCACTGCATAAAAACCATACTAAATTGCATTGATTTGGACAATTAGGAATTGGTCGAAATATACATGCACTAATCACTTGTTCAGCACTAAAGAAAATATATGCCAAAACAAACAAAACAAACTAAGAACTAAAGTTGTTGAAAAAAAAATGTAAGTAAAAATTGAGCTTAAAATTAAACATCTTTTCGCAATAAAATATGTATTAACAAGTTTAAGTTTTTAAAAAACACAAAGATTCTTAATATCAATAAAAGCGAACTGAATCACTGTCACTAATGCGATAGTCCATGGATCAATAAACCATCACTGAAAAGTCTCGGTAAAAAAAGCTATACGAACTTAAAAAGTTGTGATAATATCATATTGCAGTGTAGACATCAAAATTAATATTAATTGATCAATAAATAAAAAATCTAAGTTTACCGCGTAAACTGTGGATCAATAAAGAGAGAATTATCGAAGTAAAAAAATAGATAGTGGAGAAAATTTATAAGCTCAGGTAGATGATTGTGGTGGTATTTCGTTCTCTCAGCTGGATGTTGTTTTGCAACTCTCATTGTTCTTCTTCTGAACAATATCATCATCAGGAGCACAAACTTCAGATCGAGATGTGAAGCATTCGAATTTCTCAACATTTGACCTATAGCTTATTCTGCTGTTAACCTCAATCTTGATTGGTTGTTGTTGACCTTAAATCTGAAGTTTGTACTGATGACGATGATGATGATGATATTGTTCAATAGAAGAACAATGAAAGCTCCACAACCAAAACAACATCGAGTTGAGAGAACGAAACACCGCCACAAGTAAACAAAAACTTAAACTTAATCTGTTTATGAACAAATTCTAGAGGAGCTTTTATAAATTGAGATAAAAAGATGAAAGATAGGACGATAACAATAACAACAAGTTTTTTGTATACAGGTAGTGTAAACTTGAACATTTAAGTTAATAGATTTCAGTGAATGCAAAATTCAAAGAGGAATAAGAACCAACAAGAAATTTTATGTAAATGTAAAAGTAAGCGGAAAATAAGTGATTATTAATAAAATTTAAACAGAATTAATCATATCGTGTTTTTATGTATAGATTATGAATAACATGGTTGCCAATTTATAGGCGCTTTATTTACTTATATTGATTATTATTATTATTATTATTATGATGAATACATATAGTTACTTAGACGAGAATTATTATCATCAACTAAGGAATTCTATCTCAAAGAGTTTTTTATTTCCATGATTATACATAATATATAAAGGTATTTTGAGTATTAGCTCTGCTCTTAGGAGCCCTTAGTGGACACCCTTATGGCTGGAGACGGAAATCGGTGAAGTGTGACATTTTTAGGGTCGAACTTTTCTAACCCTTGCTTTCTTGTGAGAAGGCAGCATCGCTGCAGATGCTGCGAGGGAAACACCTTACTGCTGTCACACCTCTTTGCAGTCAGCAGTACGACTTCGCCTTCAGTAGCTGCTTTTAGTCTCATCGTCCTCCAATCGGCCTGCCTGGTATAGCAGAACCTTCAGGAACATATGTTCCAGCCAGTATAGCTCGGTTGGGTCATCACGATAGGCATGCCCGACCACCACGTCAAGGTAGCAGGTCTCTCAAATCCTAATCTTCTGGATTCGTCAGCACCTTTACCTTTGTCTTTCTAACCTTATCTCACTGAATTGTACTTGTTGAATAATATCTTCAAACACTAGTCTTCTTCATTACCATTAATACCTCTACTATCTTTATCACTATGGGATTTGATTTGACATTTGCGTCTCTGTGCTGATGTGGTATGGCAACATGAACTTATGTACATACGTACGAAGTTCTACGTTGCAACTGACTGACTGAAATATACAGGTATACTGCATATGTATTAAATTAAAATTTATATATCGATTACAATATTACTAATAGGCAGTACACACACCCTGTTGTTTGGTGGATGAATATTTTGATTAAGCCACAAGTGATACAAGTTTGTGAACGCCGATTGAAGTTTTCCTAGCAATAAATACCGAGATTTCTCTATGCACCACTAACTCACTAGAATAGATGAGACTAATCGTCAAAAGTTCTAATTAGAAACGTCGTTTATAGTAACAATAATGTAAATGAAAAATAGGATTAAGAAAAAGGATAACGCCAAAGTTATAATAGGAAAGTATGATTCAACAAATTAGTTCTATACACATAGAACTTAAGCTTAAAAAATATGGACGGTTAAAAGTTTTACAATATAAAATAGGTCAAGACGTAGACTTCACAGAATTGTTGACTGGATGTTGTAAAAAAATATGTCAATCGAAAAATACGATGTTGAATCTATAAAATGTAGCAGAATACAAAAGGTGATTGATCTACGCGGCATTTTGCGTAAACATAGGTCCTTCGTCGAGGTCGCTTCATATTAGTGTATCCTGGAGCATCTTCTGACAAGGGCTAGTAACAGGCAACGTAGATTCTGTTATACAACCTGAAATATATTTAGGCTCATATTCATCATACAAAGTCCAGTCAATTATTCAGAAGGACATAAGTCTAAACCTAATTTGTATTTCATAAGTCTTCACTATCTACCGTAATACAACCATATATCATATTAAATTAATTTGGAATAACGAATCTGATCCCATCTTCGGCACCTATCTGCCACATTGTAGCTTAGATAAGTCAAAGAAAAGATTTTGCGTAAATGATCAACTAGATTCGTCGTCTCTTTTCATAATGCACATACTTCACAACAATAATTCATGATTTCGAAAAAGGATATATACATTGTTTCGATTCGCTCATCATCACACAAAACACGTCAAAGACGGTGCATATTTCGATTGTGAAAAAAAGTTAAAGTTTAATCGGTAATCTATTATAAAATGACTGAAATCAATAATATTCACTAGACAATTAAGTTTAGAATAGAAAAAGTTCTTACAATACATGTTAATTAGAATACACACAATTTATACATGTTTAACTGTTGATCAAGCTGACATTATATTATGCTAAATGTTAGGATATTCATTCAATATCCTAAGAGAATTATTGGTCAATTCCTATTGTTTAATTCCAACTGGTCAATTTCATGGTCGTCCTAGATATCAGCGTCACGTGCTCCAATCATATTTCTTATTGGTTGTCCTGACTATCAGTGTCACTTGAAAATGTTGCTTCCTATTGGTCGTCTTAACTGTCAATGTCACACACTGTTTCCTATTCGACCAAAATGTATATATACGCATTATCTGTAACGTTTTATGACCAGGACGCGGTCCCGGATCCTGATTCTCTTCTGGATTCGGACCTCGTACTTGTAGAATACAGCTCCTACTTCATATCACGTTTTCTTCTTTTACTCAATATGGGGGTTGGGATAATCGGATTTGAGTAGCATGTCGTGTCGCCGGATCCTCGATCTCGTTTACGTGCTTACGTGCAGGCGTAACACTAAACTGGTTCTTAATTTGCTTTCCTGATTGATTAAATTATAAATTTAGTGATATCGATAAGGAACTTATTCATATCATGTAGGTATAAAAATATTTTATTGTCCATTGAACTGAATGCTCGATCAATAAATAAGGTTATACACAGGACTAGACCAAATTTTATTATTTACACTATAGAAATCAATAATAGATAATCAATCAGATTCTAGGGAAAATAAAACATAGACAATTTATTTATACAAACTAACATAAAATCATAACACTTACCGTACATAATTTGTAATTGGTGGACATTTAGGATGCTCAACAGAAGTACAACATATAAAATAACAGTTATTATGTAATCCCCATGATCTCAACAGAACAAAATCCCTTTATTTATATAACATATATATGAAAAATAAAAATAATAATAATAAGATGCAAAATTTCATATAGACAATGAATCATACTGTGATTATATACTCAAATAAAAAAAATATCTAATGTATATTTGAATGAATGAAGTAATTTTTGTCAATCGAATTTATCATCTACCGGGTTAAATGATAATTGTTTATATATTTACTAGGACATATTGTATTTATTAAATAATGATAGAGCCCTTTTGTAATTATTGAATTCAGACAGAGTATTAAAATCGGATATAAGATTAAATGACATAGTATCTAAAATATTGCTCTCGATAATATTATGACGCTTAACTAGAGAAAACCAGGCTGGTTTACGACCTGGCAGTGGATGTATTGACTACATTTACAAACTACGACAGGTCCTGGGACACAGACACACATTTAGGCGTCCTACAATAATTGGTTCTGTGGCAGTGTCCGTCATTGAAAGAAGTACCAAGGAAGTACATCAACCTTATACAAGCTCTCTACTCGAACACCACTGGTCGAGTGAGAGCATATGGTGAACTGTCATCTGAATTCTCTACATCAAGCGGTGTCCGTTAGGGATGTCCACTCTCTCCATTCTTATTTAACTTTGTCGTAGACATCTTCTTAGAGTTGACATTAAGCTCGTCAGATTTTTCAGGGTTGAACCTTCTACCAGGAGAAGCGCTTACTAACTTAGAGTATGCTGATTAGATAGACCTGTTCGGTGAAGACGCTGACAAAATGCAGAGTCTTCTGACTACCGTAAGCAACAATGCGAGCATGTTCGGGATGCGATTCTCCCCATCGAAATGCAAAATATTGCTCCAAGATTGGCTTGTAGGTAGGGATAGCAGATCGGTAGATGAAGTATTGGAACTTCATCAGTTGAGGTGGTTGGGACATGTGTTGCGCATGTCCAACCACCGACTCTCCCGATGAGCGATGTTTTGTGAAGTAGAGGTAGGCTGGAAAAAACCTAGGTCCGGCCAAACCAAAACATGGCAGAAATCAATAAAGCCACTGACAAGTGAACTGAGTCATCTCGGTAGATGTCGACTACCTGCTTGAGGTCCATGAGACGATAGTAATGGATATTTAAAGACCTGAAATGACATGGCTCGAAATCGTTTGCAATGGTGTAAATACATCCATTCTGTGTGTTCCATCAAATTCTAATCTTCAGAATTCTTCGTCATCTTTGTCTTTCTATTTCTCAATTTATCTCAATGGATCATACTTGCTGAATACTTTTTTTTGAACCTTTATCTTCTCCATTACCTCTAATTTTTCTACTACATCTACCACTATGGGATTTGAACTGACAATTACGTCTCTGTGTTAATGTAGTATGGCACCCAAAACTTATGTACTCATGTACGAAGTATTGCGTTGCAACTGATATAAATATACCACTAGTATACTGTAATAGCTTAATCCATTGGAGTGCCGATGACAGATGAAACAGATTATTTTCAAACAGTATATGATATGTAATCATATTTTAAAAAGGATTCTAGATGTTGAATTCGTCACAGTGAGTTATTTCAATGATTACCTTTAGTTTAGTTTATACAAATCTGACTGTTAAACTAACTGTAAATAAATCATCTACGTTGTAGAAAGAAGCCTTCCACAATTTATAGGTACGACCTACATTTCAAAGTCTCATAAGACAGGATGGATGATAAAACCTTGCCGTAGTTTTAATGTCTAGTTACTCTAAACTAGACATTTGATATGATTATGTAAACAATTGCATCCATCTTGTGTTGAGTGCATGTCTGTACCACAAGTCTTTACCGTGTTCTCTCTAATTGGTTGTGTAGTGAATGAGAACACAGGTGGAGGCAACCGAATTGTATTTAACGAAAATTACAGAGTTAGTCAGTAAAATCGGAAAACCATATCGTAAATCGTTCATTTGCAAAAGATCAGTTCATCCTATGGAACTGGACTGTTCCTGTTGCCAAACATCAATCCATTGTCACTCTTCATGCGTTTCATACAAATTCCATTGTTTTCTGACTCTTCCTTTCTTGATCTTCCCCCCATATTATGCTACCAGACTTTACGTTGACACTCACGCTATATACTACTTATAAGTAGTTCGCAACACAGCATCACACTCGTCCCCCCTTTTAATAAGCTGTCGTCGTGGTCCTTCAAAACAGAGCTCCTGGTCAGTTAATATCACCTTCCGTATTCCGTGACACGCTACACTATGCCGGATTACCACTTCGGTCATCGTTCTTGATCACTGGTCTGGAATGGATACGGCATCTATCCAACGTGTAGCGTCCACAAGTTCCCGATGCTGGAACACGGCGGCAGGCACACACTCGATAAATTGCGACGCCAAAGACTGTGCCCCGTCCACTCCTCACGGCGCAATCCGGTGAGCTCCACAGCAAGCACCAACAGGTCACCGTCGGCCGACAGCCGCGCCAACCGGAACCTCTGCGGCGCCTCCTCCCTGTCCGCTGGGCTGTCGAACTCCATTATATAAGGCTACAATACTAACAAGTGAACTGAGTCATGTTGGTAGATGTAGGCTATCTGGTTGGGGTCCGCGAGATGGAAGTAACCGATGGTTGGAGACCTTGAACGACATGGCTCAAAAGCGTTTGCAATGGCGCAGGTGCATCCACTCTTTATGTTCTTTATAATTACAATCTTCTGAATTCCTCATCATCACTATCTTTCTCTTTCTAAAGTTATCTTACTGAATTATACTTCTCGAATCAAATCTTCGCTCCCTAATCTTTTCCATTACTGCTAATACTTCTACTATCTCTACCACTTTGGGATTTGAACTGACAGTTGCGTCTCTGTGCTAATGCGATACAGCGACCTGAACTTATGTAATCATGTATGAAGTTCTACGTTGTAACTGACTGACTACAACCTAACTACGGGTGTAGGTTAACATGGCTTGTCTTAGCTTATGGATAAATTCTAGTTATTATTCGCATGTCTTTTATTCTTGTCAATTATTTACTGATAACTTTGTTTATCATATGAACAATATAGGTATTATTACGTGAGTTATTATCAGTTATGAACTTCAAATAAATATTATAATATTACATCCTTGCATCTACACTACGTTAGACAACTGAGACTAGCTTCAGGAGAGCTGCTGTTATACACACACACACATACAAGGAGTCGCACTGATGCTGTCCAAACAATCACAAAAGGCATCTACGCTAAACATAGTAGAATAAACAGATTTTTTTATTAAAAAAAAGTAAATAAATTATAATCAATCAACTAACCTGGCGGATATTAGTCCTCCAACAGACTCTTTAGCTATATTATAAATAATATCAATATTTTCTGAAGCTAAAGTTTGAATACACTACAAATAAAAAAAACAAAACACGAAGAACAAATCTAAGGCCATTGATCAATCTTCAATTATGTAGATATATATTTATTTACTTACTTACTTACTTACGCCTGTTACCCCCAATCGAGCATAGGCCGCCGACCAGTTTTCTCAAACCAACTCTGCCCTAGGCTTCCGTTTCCAGTTCTGTCCAATTTTTCTTCATTCTTCTCATATCTTTCTCTATTTCTCGGTGTAATGTGTTCCTTGGCCTTCCTCTTTTCCTTTTGTCTTGATGGTTCCATGTGAGGGCTTGTCTTGTGACGCAGTTTCGTAATGAGTGTCCTATCCACATCTGCATCGGATCCAACTTGGTTGTCGATTATGCTGCCCAGGTATGTAAGGGGGGTTAACGTCCTCTAAGGCATCTCCATCAAGAGTGATTTGGTTGGTGCATGTTGTGTTGTATCGGAGAATTTCGCTTTTTCCTATATGCATGTTGAGACCTTTTGCTGCAGAGACTGCTGCTACACTGGTCGTCTTCTCTCGCATTTGTTGTTGGGTGTGAGATAGAAGAGCCAGATCATCTGCGAAGTCCAGATCGTCCATCTGCATCCCGGCTGTCCATTTGATACCGTGCCTTCCTCCAGATGTCGACGTCTTCATAATCCAGTCGATCACCAGGAGAAAGAGAAAGGGTGAGAGTAAGCAACCTTGTCTGACACCGGTCTTCACCTCGAACGAGTCTGTCAGCTGTCCTCCGTGTACGATTTTGCAGTTGAATCCATCATAAGAATTCAGTATGATGTTGACTATCTTCTCAGGGACATCATAGTATCGAAGAAGCCTCCACCTCCAACCTCTTCTGGTTGTCAGAAGAGGTATCGGCCTCGTGACTTCCGAGGGAACTCGCCTTTCATCACGCGACGTCATAATTCTTCTTCCAACTCCTAGGGCGGAGTTAAAATGGTTTGATTTATTTCTTCTGGTCAGCGTTTTATTGGCAAGTTAGTTTTTTGACGGTATGGGGTCGCCAACTCCATGCTCAACCCTCCTCCTTTATCCGGGCTCGGGACCGGCAGTAGCCCCAAACGGTCTACAAGCGGAGTTATGTAGATATATACTAAATTACTTCAAATGTTATATAATTATTAAACAGAGAAATAAACTAGAATCAAACTGAACAGTTATCTTTATGTTTTTACTATATTCATTCTATTGATGAATATACAATAAAAGTGGAAAATAATAATTCTGAGGAAAATTTCATCTACTTTACAGTTTTTAAAAGATGTTATGAATTGTTTAAATTTATTGTTATATATATTTAAATAAAACTGGATTATTTAAATAAATTTATTACCATTTAATGTGTAAAAACATTCTAAATTGTTCAACAATACAAATAATTGAAATTAAGTTTATTAACTCAATGACAACAAATCTAATTTCACTTGGAAAAGGTCCTTATTTTGTAAATTTATTTTGAAATTTTGGATTGTACCTTTTCGTGCCAAAGACGTTTATTTTGACATTTAGCCTGCATTTCCAACTCGGGAAATCCTTGACTGTCATTGGTTGATGGATTATTTTAGTACGCTATTCTGTGGCTCTCAGTAAGGCCGTCTTATCATTGTATAAATAAACTTGAGTTGTGTGCCTAGACACCTCGTATTTTCTGGGTGTCTGTGGAATGCATTTCTCCACATCTCATCAAGATGTTTTCCTCTAGTTACTGGGGCCTGGGACGATCGGATTAAAATAGCCTATCGTGTGATTGAATCATTGATCTTCGTTCCATTTACTGAGTAAGGTGAATTCGTAATAGCCCGAGCATACTGTTGAACAACATGTAAGGATAAATAAAACCAAACCATCTGTATTTTTCGGTGCTTAAAGCAACATAATCGAGTTTGTAGTATGTGTACCTTTATGTCGAGACCATAGGGCTTGTTCCAAGGCCTTTAGAAAAGTGAACAGTTTCATCCACGCCAGTTACTATTCATTCGTCTTTTGACCTTGTCAAGTATTTGCTTTTATCTTGGTTATTTCTATTCTAGAATGTGTGTGTGTCGCTTACTTCGATTATTTTGTCTGACTATAAATACTGAGTCATGCTTGATCTCACGTAGTTGGTTCGCTCGCATTCTTCGCTTCGCTTTGCTTTCACGCTTCGTATTCTCATGTCTGTCGGTATATATGGTTGCTTGAAATAAACTCATCCAACGGAATCCGTATTTGGCTTCTAATTAACGCCGTCACACACACGGGGTTTGTCTAAGTATGATGTATGCAAAGTGAAGAGGGATATTTATTCCATCTGATAGTCGATCGTTCTTAAACAGAGGAGTTGGTTCATGGGATCACCAAACTTGTAAACCTTACTTCGAGTTCAAAGCAGCCACTAAAGTGGTAAGCTCTACAACAAATTCAACATAGAAACAAAATGTGGTAAGCTCTGCATCGAATCTAACGCAGCCAATAAAAATCGCATAGAGTTGGTGACGTTATGAAAAACAGAAAGATGATATGCAATTGAAAGTTGACATACTAAAGCTTAACTTCAAAAATTAAGTGTTAAATGAGCACTGTCATTTGATTCATATTAATCTGTGGTGGAACATATGTCTTTTTAAAGGGAATTTCGCATAACTAATAAAATGAATAATAAACTTGGTATCATAAACTCTACTTCATTCATATAACAGTCAATAGTCTGTACTCAAAACTGAAAGAAATGTCACAGACATGTGACCTGCTAAGAAGATATTATAATCGTATGAGAAAAATGTGTAGATTGATAAATAATCTCATGAGTATGTGTAGTATTTGTATGTTAGTGAAATAACTGACCATAAAACATAGCATAGAAGTTTCATTAGTTTTGACGGATTGGTGCCTGGAGAAATCTTGATATCGGTTGAGTAACATTATTTGGCGTTTGCCAAATTGTATCACTTATAGCATAATTCAGATGTTCGTCCACTAACTATCATGGTGTGTATATTGCTTATCGGTCTGTTTTATATTGATCTATAGTTGTCGGTTGAAAGTATGACTTAGTAGGGCTAAAGGATTTCCATCTTAAGTACATTTGAAGCAGTTTCTGCATTTCAAGGAACGATCAAGTAAACAGTATTGAGGTTAGATCTAGAGAGCAAGATGGTGAATTCATTGATAACAACATTGTAAATCTTCATCGATTGAAGTGATTAGGACATGTGCTTTGTATGCCTATCCTCCATCTATCTTGACAAGCAATACTTCCTAGTGCAAAGGCAGTTCGTAAGGAAGCTATATGCGTCCAAATTATGAAATGGAATCAATCGATGAAACGATTGATTGTCGGTTTGGTGTGTGTGGGGTGTGGGAGATAACGACGATCAGTAGATGGAGATGTTGATTGCGTTGGTTTATAAACCTTCGTACATAGACCTTTTCACTCTCATCTCTAACCATATTCTTAATGTTTAGGCATTTTTATTATCATTCAGTCAGTCAGTCAAACGCAACGTAGAACTTCGTACGTAAGTACATCAGTTCATATTGCCAAACCACATTAGCACAGAGATGTAATTGTCAATTCAAATCCGATAGTAGAAGAGGTAGTAAAGGTATTCGAAGTAATCGGAGAGGTTAGGATGAGAAGATATTCAAGAAATATTATTCAGTGCACCGGCGCCATTGCGAACGATTTTGAGCCATGTCATTCAAGGTCTCTAACCATCGATTATTATCATCTCGCGGACCCCAACCAGGTAGTCGACAACTACCGACATGGCTAAGTCCACTCGTCAGTGACTTCATGGATTTCCGCCATGTTTTGGTTTGGCCGCCCCTAACTTTCTTCCAAACTATTCCTACATTACAAAACAAAGCTCGTCAAGGCAGTCGGTGGTTCGGCATACGCAGCACATGTCCCAACCACATCAACTGATGAAGTTTCACCACTTCATCTATTGATCTGCCATCCTTACTTAGCACCCGTTTTTTTAACAACAGCATTGCTTACTCGGTCGTCCTAGGATATACGAGCAATGCTTCAAAGACACCTATGATCGAAAACCAGTAATCTACGAATATCTTCTTCCCTCACTGGCCATGTTTCAGAGCCACAAAGTAAGACGGAGCGAACTACTGCACAGTACACTCGTCCTTTGGTCATCAAACGGATATCTCGCCTACGCCATAAGTGATGCAGGTTGGCAAAAGCCGATCGCGTTTTCTGTATCCGTGCTGAGATTTCGTCAGTCACCAGGCTATCAGCACTGATGAGACTCTCCAGATAAGTGAAGTGATCAACACGTTCGACTACTTCACTCCCTATCACTAGTTCAGGTGCCGATGCAACCCAATCTTGAAGCAACATTTTGCATTTCCAGGGTGAGAACCGCATCCCGAACATGCTTGCATTGTTGCTTAGGGTAATCAGAAGACTCTGCACTTTGTCACCGTCTTCACCAAGTAGGACTATGTCATCGGCATATTCTAAGTCAATAAGCGAGCCACCTGGTAAGATAAGGTTATATATCTAGGAGCATGTCTATGATAAAATTAAACAAGAATGGAGAAAGTGGACATCCCTGACGGACACCACTTGAAGTGAAGAATTCCGGTGACAGTTCGACCACTGGTGTTCCAAGTAGAGAGCTTGTATAAGATTAATGTACTTCTTTGGTACACCTTTCAATGACAGACACTGCCACAGAACCTCACAATCCACTGAGTCAAATGCCGCCTTCATGTCTAGGAAAACAACTATTATTGTAGGACGCCTAAATGTGTGTCTGTGTTTTTTTATTATCATTACTTGAATATTATTTCAATTTCAATTTTTTTTGTAATGTATATTAATGATTTCATTTTTTTTTAAGTGAACTAAGAATGATGAGAATAGAATGCAAGAACACTTGCTGCCAGACTCCATGTAGATTATGCATGATTAATTAAATAAGAAATATTTAACTAAAATGATTTTAAGTAAAAATAAAAACACGAGTAATTTTATTTTTTTTATTGAATCTGACAGTTGGAATAACAATTTTTAAATGTGCTTGATAGATCAATAACATTAAAAAATTAGATTGGTTAATTTTAAATAATTAATTATATGTACAATATGTACAAAAACAAGTGAAATTTTCCTACTAACCTCAACAGATGATAGAGTTTGATTCCAACTAGGTGTTTCATGGACATTGATAACCATATCATTAAATAGACGAAGTGGTGAAATAGATAATAGAACCTACAGAGAAGTACAAAAAATCATTTCACATATAAATAAATATATAATGATAACCAATATGAACTTAAACTATGATCAGTACTTTTTAATATTTCCTTAACTAACTTATTCACTAGTTACTTGGATGTAAATCGCATGTTATGAGTGGAGGCTAGTATCTCACACTACCTAACCGAGTAAGCAATGCTGTCGTTAGGAAACGAGTACTAGGTAAGAATGGCAGATCAATAGATGATGTAATGAAACTTCATGCGTTGAGGTGGTTGGGACATGTGTTACGTATGGCTAACCACCGACTGCCTCGACGAGCGATGTTTTGTGGTGTAGGAGTAAGTTGGAAGAAAGCTAGGGGCGGTCAGACCAAAACATGGCAGAAATCCATGAAGTCACTGACAAGTGAACTGAGTCATGTTGGTAGATGTAGGCTACGAGGTTGGGGTCCGAGAGACGAAAGTTACCAATGGTTAGAGACCTTGAACGACATGGCTCAAAATCGTTTGCAATGGCGCAAGTGCATCCATTCATTGTGCTCTCTCAAATCCTAATCTTCTGGATTCGTCAGCACCTCTATTTTTGTCTCTCTAACCTTATCTTACTGAATTATACTTGTTGAATAATATCTTCAAACACTAGTCTTCTTCATTACCATTAATACCTCTACTATCTTTATCACTATGGGATTTGATTTGACATTTGCGTCTCTGTGCTGATGTGGTATGGCAAAATGAACTTGTGTATATACGTACGAAGTTCTACGTTGCAACTGACTGACTGAAATATATAGGCATACTGCATATGTATTAAATTAAAATTTTTATATCGATTACAATATTACTAGTAGGCAGTACACACACCCTGTTGTTTGGTGGATGAATATTTTGACTAAGCCACAAGCGATACAAGTTTGTGAACGCCGATTGAAGTTATTGAAGTACCAAGTAAAAATGAACAATCACAACTGTTATGCACGTCGATTGATATGTTTGAAACTATTACGAGTTCACCTTAGTCGGTAGACCACAGAGAAGACAAATGATTCAGTGACACGATAGGCTACTCTAATCCGAGCGTTCCCCAAGGTCCCACTAAGTAAATGTCTTGATATAATATAGAAAGCATATTCTACAAGCACCCAGAAAATCGAGGTTTCTTTATACATCATAGAAACGTCCTTGTGAGAGCCACAAAATAGCTTACCAAACTAATACATCAACCAATAACAGGCTTGGATTTTCCGGATGGGAAATGTAATCTCATGGTCAACCGATCAGGTCATGCGCTAAAACATAAAATCCAAAATTAGGACCTTTACCAAGTGAGTTCTGGGGATCTAACGGCCACAACAACAAAACCAAGTAAATGGCTAGGTGCCATCGACAGAATTATCGCCAGAAATAGGTTGGAAGAGAGTTGAATGTTGCATTTTAGAAGGTTTATATTATTTGTTAAAAAAACATAAAAAACTGAGTTGCGGTAGGTATTTACTCAAAATTATTTTAATTAATTCAAATTTCAAGACACTATTATTAGAAATATTGACATTTTTTTCTTATATAACATTTAAATAAAATATCAACAGGCATTATCATATAAGTTGAGCAAATTGCAAACCAACCTCTAAACGATAAACTTTAGCAGGATAACCAGGCAACATTTCAGATCGAAGCGGATATTTGACATTGATAGAAGGTGAACTATCCCCCCAAATTTCATGTTCATATAAATTCCACATTTGTGTTTGTAAAGAATTAGTGCGATGTAACAAAGCAGCTACCTGAGAGAAAAATATTGGAAACGGAATTGAATTACAAACTATGACCAATTCAACCTCGTGTGCAATTACTCGTAGCCGCTACCTTGACGTCGTGATGACACAACCGAGCTATATTGGCTGAAACATATGTTACTGAAGGTTCTACTATGCCAGGCAGGTCGATTGGAGGATGATGAGACTAAAAACAGCTACTCAAGGTCTGAGGGCGAAGTCGTACTGCTAACTGCAGATGGGTGTGACAGCAGTAAGGTGTTTCCCTCGGATAACCAGCATTTGCAGCGATGCTGCCTTCTCACAAGGAAGGAACGGTTAGAAAAGGTAGACCCGAAAAATGTCACACCTCACCTTACCTCACGGACTTCCTTCTCCGGCGGTGAGGCCTTTTAAACAAGAGCGGAGCTAACACTTGAGCTAACACTACATGAACGTAAAACAACTAAATACTTGCATCTCTAAACTAGTCCTATATATATAATATAAACAGATTGAAACTCTTAAATAAAAAATCAGATGTACGAGTGTACAATTCAATAAATGACCGATGATCGATACATGCGAAAAGACAGGAACTTTTCAACAATGTAAACAATCAGTATAAAAAATAAGCTTAAAATGAACACATAACGCTAATTATACTGGTTCGAATTTTTTTACTGTTAGTCTAATGAGTTATAGAATAGTTGTTACACTCGTCTCTAGGTATGTCTCAAACTATTACGGATTCACCTTAGTCCAATAACGAGAACGAGACAATGAAACAGCGTCTAGGTAGGTTACTCTGTACTAACAAGAAGCCTCGATATAGCGTAGAAAAAGTATTCTATTAACAACCCAGCCAGCACACAAATCGCGTTTATTTATACACCATAGAGACGTCCTTCGGAGAGTCACAAAATAACACACTAAAACAACACAGTAACCAACCACAGCCACGGGTTCTCCTGGTGGGAGATGTGATCTCAAGCTCAACTGATCAGCTCATGAATAAAATCCAAAATAAAGACATTTATCAAGCGAGTTCTGGTAATCTAACATACCCAACAATAGTGGGGTGTGAAAAGTACCGTGTCAATCAGTTCAGGGTAAACAAATTCCATGAACAGAAGCAGAACATATAGACATCTTAACTAGGTGTAGAATGTGTAAGTTTAGGTTGATTCCATAAAACTATTATTGTTGTTGTCGTTGAGAGTTCACAAGATTAAATCGATAAGGTATTCAGAGGTCCAGAAAATCCTGAAAACGTCCCGTCTAAACAGTATCAATTATGAAATTAGCAGGAACATTAGGCAATATTACATTGGATAATTAATTATTTGTTTTGTCACTAAATATAGCAAAGTTTCAGAAACTTCTAGAAAGTAAAGAGATATATAGACGTATAAAGTTGCTTTAATGTATATAAATGAGCCCTAAAGTAAACATCTGTTCCTACTTTGCACTCCAGATCTACTGTTTGGTACCAGTGTAGGAACAGTATGACGATATAGAGAGTGGATAGGAACACAGTGTTGAGTAATGTATAACGGCTGGAAATATCGACCACGAATACTCTTCTCTCATCGCAAACCAACCAATCAAACACGACGAATCCACAATCAGAGATCACCCAGAAAGCTATATTAAAATTATGTACACAATGAGATATGTTAACACCAGACTCAAAACACAAAAGGCACCTATAGGAAGGGAATCTCATGGACCCAGGATCATTAAAGCATCCTTCAAAATAAAGAAAGAGGACATTACAATGAACGTCATCCAACGCTATGCTCCTACCAATGACTACAATGAGGACGCTAAAGATCAATTCTACGAAAGGCTGCAGTCAATCGTCGACAGATGCTCATCAAAGGATTTGACAATTTTGATGGAAGACCTAAATGCCAAAGGTTGGCATGGACAACACTGCATATGAAGACATTGTGGGACGACATGGACTGTGAGAAATGAACGAAAATGGTGAGAGATTTGCAAACCTACGTGCCTTCAACAAACTGGTCATCGGTGGCGCAATATTCCAATACAAACGCATGCACAATGCTATATGGATTTCGCCGGATCACATAGCACAGAACTAAATCGGCCATATCTGTGTCGACAAAAAGTTCTGAAGGACCATGGAGGACATGAGAACCGAGAGACAAGCTGATATAACTTCAGATCCCCACTGGCTTGTCGCCAAAATGAAAATGAAACTCAAGAAACACTGGACAACGGGTAGCCCCAGAAGGGCTCTAGGCGGAGTTTCAGGACAGAGTATGTTGGAGAATAGCGGTCGGTGACCTATGCTTCGTTGCGGACAAAAATAGCAAATAAGTGAAAACTCGACAGTTTTGATGTTTTCAGTATGTTTCGAAGTAATATGAGCACAAACTTAGAAAAAGATGACCCAGAAGAACCGTTTTACAAGTGTTTACAGGTTTACCCTATCTATCTAAGTACATTGAGATTGGTTGTTATCAGTAATTGTGCAGTCAGTGAATATCTTCTACACCTTTTTTGTATTTGAATAATAGCAAAATAGGTTTATCTAAACAGATTTGCTGATTATCATAACATTTAAGTTTCAAACTTCTAACAATTTCATAGCGTAATTTCAATCCAAGATTTCAACACTCTACGACTAGTCAAATTCGTATCCAGAATTGTCAATATTCATTGATATAAAAGATGATACATTATGGAGATATACAGTTATGTGGGCGGAAATGATGAATAATTTATTCAGTTCAGTAGCAACGATATCTTAGAAATGCATAAGATAAACTTCACAACTAAACTATCCAAGTCAGAAAACAAGATATTAGCAAAATCTTCCTTATGAGTAACAAATATCTTTCCTTATTTCAATAAATAAACAACTTAATATAGTTTTAATTACTTGCACGACTTACATCGACAGCAGCTTCAAGATTATGAGATGTGGTAAGTTTCACAGGTGATTCATCACCCAATATTGAACCTGTAGTTATAAATAAAATGTAACAAAACGTACAGATAATCACAGAGTTACAATTAATTCAGCTAATATTACTATGAATATTTAGAACTAGAAAAAAAAAATGTAATATTTCTAATGAGTTTTCAAACAAAAAAGTCTAAAGAAAAGTGAACTCGACATTGAGCACAAAGCTAACCTATTGACTGAGATTAACTTTCTTATAGTAGATTAGTAGTGAGTTGAAGATCGCTAATAAGAGACAATTTTAAGCTAATGAGCTGATTGATCATAATGATAATATATAATCGGAGTAATTTTAAGTGAAAATTAAAACAAATCTGTTATGCTCATCAATTGATATGCTTGAAACTATTACGAGTTCACCTTAGTCGGTAGACCACAGCGAAGACAAACGATGCAGTGAAACGATAGACTACTCTAATCCGAACGTCCCAAGGCCTCACTAAGTAGAGGAGGAAGTCTTGATATGGCGTAGAACGTGTGTTCTACAAGCACCCAGAAAATCGAGGTCTACAAGAACACAAATCGGGTTTATTTGTACACGACAGAAACGTCCTTGGGAGAGTCACAAAAATAGCGTACTAAAATAATTCATCAACGAATAACAGTCAAGGATATTCCGGATGGGAAATGTAATCTCAAGGTCAACTGATCAGCCAATGCACTAAAGCATAAAATCCAAAATTAGGACCTTTATCAAGTGAGTTCTGGGGAACTAACGACCCCAACAAGTTCTCAAGCACAATCAAGCAGCTGATGAGAATCATTTTCTACAGAAACAAAAAGTTAATGATTTTTTTTATTGAACATGAAGCATTATTACCAAATGTAAGCTTAATTAATAAACAATATTATTCACGTGATTCATGTTATCTAATCTACCATCTATCAGATTCTAAGAATAATAACTTGTAAGAATATGGAATCAAAGGTAGAAAGTATTTTAAGTGATAAAATGTTATTTATATTATTATGCCAACATTCCACATAGAGATGACTAATCAGTTTCTAATAATCGGTTAATTTCAATCGATATGAAGGCACACATTTTTGTGTTTCAAATGTTTCGAAATGATGTTTCGCAGTCATAAAGTACGACGGAGCAATCTGCTGAGCATTAGACTCGTCTGTCGGTTAGTAAACGGATATTTGGCCTACGTCATAAGTGATGCAGGTTGGCAAAAGCCAATCGAGCTTTCTGTATTCGTGCGGAGATTTCGTCACACGCTAGGTCACCATCACTGATAAGATTTTCGAGATAAGGGAAGCGGTCAACATGCTCAACCACTTCACTCCCTATCAATAGCTCTGGTGCCGATGCAACCTAATCTTGATTTTGGAGGAGGAAAACCGCATCCGGCAAATGTTTGGATTGTTGCTTAGGGTAGTCAGAAGACTGCATTTTGTCAGCGTTTTCACAAAGTAGAACAATATTGTCGGCATATTCTAATTCGACGAGCGAACCTCCTGGTAAAAGTTCAACTCTTGAAAAGTCAGATGATTAGAGTGTTGTCTCTAAAGAATAGGAAAGTGGACAACCCTAAAGAACACCAGCTGTAGTGAGCAATGCCGCTGACAGTTTGCCATAAGCTCTGACTCGACCACCAGTATTTGAGTAGAGAGCCTGCATAAGGTTAATGTACTTCATTGGTACTCCTTTCAGTGACAAACACTGCCACATATCTTCGTGATCGACAGAGTCAAATGCAGCCTTAAGGCTGAGAAATACTACTAACGTGTGCTTTTGTTCTAGGACCTGACGTAGTATGAACATGTGGTCTATACATCCACGTCCAGGTCGAAAACCAACCTGGTTTTCTCTAGTCTGCTCTTCACGAGCTCTAGCTAGGCATCGGAGTATTACTGAACATAGTATCTCAAATATCTTATTAGTGAAACTGATTTCTCTATGATCGTAACAAGAGGACTTTTGTCCTTTTTTATAAATTGTGACAATAATCAGTGATTGAAAGCAGTCGCATGGGATTACGTTCAGTTTCGTGATTCTACTTAAGATCTTAATCAATCTAACTGCTGGGGCTAAACCACCATCCTTAAAAATCTTAGGGACAAAATAAGCCTGTCAGGGCTTGCTGCTTGCTGAGGTAAGTTTTTTTCTAAGCGTTTTGTCAACAATTATTTAAAAAAGTGTATTTACAAATTTAAAAAAAGAATCACAACCGGTAATTACAATTTCAGACTTTTGTCTACCATTATTTAAGCATTCTAACATTTATATATCATACTGAACTTTATACTTGTCAGATTTGTGGATATGAACGATTTATTCCGGGGAAGTTAAGAAATCACAATTGTAAACTAATAATATAAGTAGGCTCTAGGATTTTGAGAGGATGCATGGAGAATGAGTCTATTTTGGTCATTGGCTTCCAGAGACTGGTAATTCCCAACGTCATTCTAACGCTTTATGGATTAAACCTTTAAGTTAAAGGCTTCAATGAGTGGCTTTCTAAGGAAATTACGTGTTTTGGTTTAGGTACCCAGCGGTAATCTCGGGCCATATAAGAATATGATGAAGTGATGATTAACGACAATCTAAATAAACAATATTTGCAGACAGTTCATTTAAAAATCAATCGATTTTACGTTGGCTTCATTTTTCTATTGGATTTTTACTTTCATTTTTTGAGTATGGTTTTATTTGTGATCGAACAAACCAGATTCCAGTGGAGGAGGAAATCAGGAAGAAGTGGTGGAAGTGGATAGGAGACACATTACGAAAAGCACGTAACTGCGTCACAAGACAAGCCCTCACATGGAACCCTCAAGGCAAAAGGAAAAGAGGAAGGCCAAGGAACATATTACGCCGAGAAATACAGAAAGACATGAGAAGAATGAACAAAAATTGGAAAGAACTGCAAATGGAAGCCCAGGACAGAGTTGGTTGGAGAAAACTGGTCGGCGGCCTATGCTCGATTGGGGGTAACAGGCGAAAGTAAGTTTATTTGTGATCGCACTTACCAGCTTATCTACAGTGTATTAGAAATGGTTTTTTTTATGAACTGTATTAAATAGAAAATGATGGAATCATTTTTTTTTTAATAAATATTCTCATAACAAGGCATAATATTCATTTTATAAATGACAATAAATACAAATAATAATCCTACTCATTGTTTACAGTGAAAATAAAACATAGTAACATTATTATGAAACTAGAAATTCACATATACCTTGTGGTGTATAAAAATCTGCATTGCTCATAGATCGTACAGAAAGACCAGAATACCAAGGAATACGGTTACCTAATTGTGAGCTTAACAAACTTCTAGTTTCATCTTGCTCTTTTAAACATGTTTTTACTGGAAGATATGAGAAAAAAATAATACACAAACTAAAGAGTAAAAACAAAACTGTAAACAAGTAAAACATAATAAACATATATTCGCGTTATATTGAACTATCCCGTTAAATATTAATGATCTCAAAATAATTCTGTTTTTTTCATAGTGACTGTTAGGATATTCATCCAATATCCTAAGAGAATTATTGGTCAATTCTTATTGTTTAATTCCAACTGGTCAATTTCATGGTCGTCCTAGATATCAATGTCACGTGCTCCAACGTTATTTCTTATTGGTTGTCCTGACTATCAATGTCACTTCAAATGTTGCTTCCTATTGGTCGTCTTAACCGTCAATGTCACAGACTTCGATGTTGTTTCCTATTCGACCAAAATGTAACGTTTTATGACCAGGACCCGGATCCCTAGTTCGGGATCCTGGTTTTCTTCTGGACTCGGACCTCGTAATTTCTGGATGCTTGTAGAATATGTGTTCTACTTCATATTAAGTTTTCTTCTTTTGTCCAATGGGGGTTGGGAAAATCGAATTGGGTAGCATGTCGTGTCGCTGGATCCTCGCTCTCGTTCCCCGACTAGGCAAACTCGTAATAGTTCAAGAATATCAAAATGACGTGTTTACGTGCAGGCGTAATAGTGAAAAATCGATTTCATAGACAAAATAATGTGATTGTCATTCGATTCTTAAACATTGAACAATATCAGTTACAAAATATCACTTGAAATATCAATGAAACTACAATTAACTGTCTCTTATCATAATCATCTAACATTCACTAACAAGAAAAGAAGAAAGCACTTTTGATTTAGCAATAAGATTGGAATAGGAAAAATGATTTAGCTAACGATTAACAACGTGACAATATCAGATTGATCTAAATATAAAAAATTCTTCAGACGCTGTGAATATGTTGCTAGGGGCGGCCAAAACAAAACATTGCACAAATTCATGAAATCATTGACAGGTGAACTGAGTCATGTTGGTAGATATGTAGGCTACCTGGTTGGGGTCCGAGAGACGATAGTAACCAATGGTTAGACATGGCTCAAAATCGTTTACAATGGCTCAGGTGCATTCATTCATTGTGTTCTATTAAATTCTAATCTTCTGAATTCCTTATCATCTCTATCTTTCTCTTTCTACATTTGTCTCACTGAATTAAACTTCTCGAATCATATTTTCGAACCCTAATCTTCTCCATTACTACTAATACTTCTATTATCTTTACCACTGGGATTTGAACTGATAGTTGCGTCTCTGTGTTGATGCAGTATGGCAACCTAAACTTATGTAATCATGTACGAAGTTTTACGTTGTCACTGACTGACTGACTGTGAATGAATTACAGCATAACTGGAAAAAAATTTCTTTACAAGCAATTTACTCAGTTTTCTTCCTACTTATGGTATGGTTATACCGCTTTGTAATTGCTTGATTACGTTGATGTGTAGGCGAAATTCGACTCTGTATTATGACAGGATTTTTGAGTTATAACTGAACTGAGTATGGTCGAGACTGGTTGCTGATTTCCTTTTGAACTCAAAGCAAAGAATAGAGAACGGTGGTTTATGGGTAGCGGACCAATAGGAGATGACTTAGCAAAGACTATTGACGAAAACAGTTGGAAATCCTTTAATAAATTGAGATGCCAAGATATGATATGTTAGTAATCTGGATAGATGCTACCCTACCTAAAGACTCTTTAGACCGAGGAAATTGCAGTCAGCGAATAAAGCATTAGCAATATTGAGACAATGATAAATTATCCAGTATCTTAGAATCTTTGAAGTGGTGCGTGGTGAACATAGGCTAAATCGTATTAAATATAGATTTTCATATAAAATAATATATTATATGAAACTAAAACAGCTTTTATACTTTACTACACTTTCAGTGAGTTGGTTCAGATGAAACTGATACTATCTCAGTGTAGTGAACGAGAACACAGGTGGGGCAACCGAATTGTATTTAACGAAAATTACAGAGTTACTCAGTAAAATCGGAAAACCATATCGTAAATCGTTCATTTGCAAAATATCAGTTCATCATATCGAACTGGACTGTTCCTGTTGCAAAACATCAATCCATTGTCACTATTCATGCGTTTCATACAAATTCCATTTTGTTCCCACTCTTCTTCCTTTCTTGATCTTCCCCCATCTTCTGCTGCCAGACATTACGTTGACACTCACTTCATATACTACTTATAAGTAGCTCGCACCACATCAGTATGTATTGTAATATCCAAGATATCATAAACATAAATTAACTGTAATGATGACAATTGGAGCTGAAATACTTGTAGAAATGCTGAGACTAATCAATCCATACTTATTGTCCAGTTCCTTTTTTTTGATCATGTGCATCGTCTATTCCATAGATATCTCTATCTTGAAAATGTTGATGGTAGCGATTCTATCTGTCAAGCTATAAGGATGATTTGATGTACCTACTAAAAGCCTTAAGTCCTGTTTTGATGTGAAAAAGCCAACTTAACAAAGTGTCAAAAATGGTAGAGAAAATGTGTAGCTCAGGTGGATGATTGTGGTAGTGTTTCGTTCTCTATGAGCTGGATATTATTTTGGTTGGGGAGCTTTCATTGTTCTTCTTCCGAACAACATCATCATTAGCACAAACTTCAGATAGCAGAAGTGAAATATTCGAATTTCTCCACGTTTGACCCGTAGCTTATTCTGCTGTTAACCTCAATCTTGATTGGCTGATGTTAACTTTAAACCTGTCGATGTTTTGTGTGCCAGAAGTATTTCAAAAGATAAAAAGGACCAAGCATTATCCTCCTTATATGATATCATCATTACTAAGAGGATGTTTGCGTTTCAAGACGTGTCAGAGAGGCCCACTTTCTGTGGAGATGTGAGACAGGCCACTAGTAGTTCGAATGCTAGACATTCTATAGTCCACCAAAACATAGATGAAAACAGGAAGTAAGTCCTTTAAAAATGAGATGATAGTTTTTAATATTAACATCAAATATATAATCCCATTATGATGCTGAAACATACCACGATCAGCAGCTTTTTCTTGAGGAATAACGCGATAAATTAGGAAGGTTGTTTCAATCCATGAAATAACTAATGATGCGATTAAAACAGCATACGCTAGACCCTGATTATCTGGAGTCCTTTGATGAAACTGGGATTCAAAAAAAGAAAGAGTATATATATATATATATATATATATATATATATATACGTACGTACATCAGTTCAGGTTGCCATGCCCCATCAGCACAGAGACACAACTGTCAGTTCAAATTCAACAGTGATAGCAATAATAGAAGTATTAGCAGTAATGGAGAAGATTAGGGAGCGAAGATTTGATGCGAGAAGTATAATTCAGTACGATAAATTTAGAAGGAGAAAGACAGAGATTATGAGGAATGCAAAAGCTGCTAGATCGTCAATAGTTTAGGAAGCTTTGGATTTAACTCGATTTCCATTTAATATGAATATTAACATAATTACTTAACAATTAAAGTTATTTTCAGAAATAGTTTATAAACGATTCATTGAACATATTTAATAGTACATGTGTAGAATATGATTGGAAGCATGAATATGCTCTAACTTTTGAAACTAGATGACCCATATTTATCAAGTTAATTTCATGGGTAAAAAAATTGTACTTCTTGTAGTTACACATATTTTGTTTACAATGTACATCTAATTTTAAAGTTGACCATTTATAGGTTGATGTAAAAACCCTAGAGATAAATGTAAAGTAATGGGTATATAATAGAAAAAGTTGGTTTATAAACCATCAATCGTAGGGGTTAGGGATCCCCGCTCGTCATACTTTAGTCTAAACAGATGATTAGTATCAATAGGTTCTACAACAAGTGGCTGAGAACTGGGTACATAGAGTTGTATCTGGTAAATTGATATACTGGTCTAAGCTAAGGTTTGACTTAACTATTTGAAGGACATATATGACAAATTGCATAAACAACTTCAACATATGATGGACCTTTAGCATTGCTCACTTATCATTTGGCACATGAAATGTCTGTAATTGACCAGTATATCAATTTACCAGATACAACTCTATGTACCCAGTTCTCAGCCACTTGTTAGAGAACCTACGGATACTAATCATCTGTTTAGACTAAAGTAAAACGAGCGGGGGTCCCTAACCCCTACGATTGGTGGTTTATAAACCAACTTTTTCTATCATATACTGACTAGCTCAGTCTTCTAACGTATAAGGTAGGGTTCGAATATAGGAAGTGTACATATCAGTAACCAATCAGACGACAGAAGAACTTGACATAAATGTTACATTAAAAATAAGCAGACAACTATTGTTGTATCAGAACGGAAATAGAAGGGATGCTAACTCTTAGGACTAATTTATAGGTGATTACTATATATACTCTTTATTGTATAATTACTCATTGACTACTGTTGTATGATTTATTCTTAATATGTCGCTGGTTAATCATTTTCAGTCTTCTCTACTCACAGTCACTTTTTGGACTGCTCACGTATGACTGTGATGTGGTCAATGTCTGTACATAAACCACGTATGTTTGGGATATATGATCAGATTCGATTAGTGGAGACTATCACAGACATCTGAAATCAACGGGTCGAGCAGGGAGAGGGGATTCTAAACCAATAGGAACTTAGCTACTAACTACAGGTCATTGGCGCGTAGTTCTATTATGGTTGATGTTTTATCTATGTCACGTGATATTAGACATGTTAAATACGTAACAAAAAAACAAAATTGTGACTGAGGACAAATTTTTCAGCTTGTATTCAAGAGAAACAACGACAGCATTATCACTTACATCAAAAATGAAACATTTAACGACCAGAATTAAACTTGTTAGGCCAGTAGAGATCTAAAATCAAGAGAATGAGAAATATAGAAATCAACAAGAACAAATCAATATATCAGTTTGAGAATAAGTTTCAAGTGATGAGGTATTCTGGTGTGTATACTGACTACAAACCTCTGATCCATGAAAGGCCAGTTTATATTCAACGCTTTTTGAAGCTTTGCAAATATTTGCATCTGCATTTAGTATCGTCCTTATATTTGTCATTTAAATATTTTACTCTCTCATTTATTCACAAAATAATTTTCTTGATTTTTGTGGCTTATACTTTTGTAGCCTAATGAACCGTAGACGTTTCGCCATAAATAAGTAAAATAGAATGACAGTAATTTACGAGATTTATTTATAAGTAAGTGAAAGAGTAAAACTTACAGCTGACCACCAAGGTTTCCGACATTGAATTACTCCATAAACTATTTCCATAAGAATAAATCGGAAAGCTGATAACATCTAGAATGAATAATAAGCGAATAAGTAACCAAACAGTATCATCATGATGGTGAGGTAATTCTTACAAAACTAATTTAAAAAAAATTTACGAACTATCCGATCTTATTTTAATTCTGTTTGAACACATAGACCTTCTACCAGGTGGCTCGCTTATTGACTTAGAATATGCCGATGACATAGTCCGACTTGGTGAAGACGCTGACAAAGTGCAGTCTTCTGATTATCCTAAGCAACAATGCAAGCATGTTCGGGATGCGGTTTTCCCCCTCGAAATGCAAAATGTTGCTTCAAGATTGGGTTGCATCGGCACCTGAACTAGTGATAGGGAGTGAAGTAGTCGAACGTGTAGACCGCTTCACTTATCTGGGGAGTCTCATCAGTGCTGATGGCCTGGTAAATGACGAAATATCAGCTCGGATACAGAAGGCTCGATTGGCTTTTGCCAACCTGCGTCACTTATGGCGTAGGCGTGATATCCGTTCTCTAATCAAAGGACGAGTGTACTGTGCAGCAGTTCGCTCCGTTCTCTTATATAGCTGTGAAACATGGTCAGTCAGAGTAGAAGATATTCGTAGGTTACTGGTTTTCGATCATAGGTGTCTTCGAAGCATTGCTCGTATACCGTGGGACAACCGAGTAAGCAATGCTGTCGTTAGGAAACGAGTACTAGGCAAGGATGGCAGATCAATAGATGAAGTAATGAAACTTCATCAGTTGAGATGGTTGGGACATTTGTTGCGTATGCCGAACCACCGACTGCCTCGACGAACTTTGTTTGTAGTGTAGGAGTAGGTTGGAAAAAAGTTAGGGGCGGCCAGATCAAAACATGGCAGAAATCCATGAAGTCATTGACTAGTGGACTGATCCATGTCGGTAATTGTCGACTACCTGGTTGGGGTCTGCGAGATGATAATAATCGATGGTTAGAGACCTTGAATGACATGGCTCAAAATCTTTCGCAATGGCGCCGGTGCATTTATTCTTTGTGTTCTCTCAAACCCTAATCTTCTGGATTCTTCAACACCTCTAGTTTCGACTCTCTAAACTTTTCTCACTGAATCATACTTCTTGAATAGTATCTTCTAACCCTAACCTCTCCGATTACTTCTAATTCCCTTACTACCTCTACTACTATTGGATTTGAATTGACAATTATATCTCTGTGCTGATGTGGTACGGCAACATGAACTGATGTACTTACGTACGAAGTTCTACGTTGCATCTGACTGACTGAACACATAAATATTGGTACAAAGTGGCACCTAAATATTTATGCGCCACAAAAATTACTGAATTTATGAGTGAACTGGGATAGTGTTCGACTGCCTAAACCGAAACAGGTTTTATTACGTATCACTACCCGAATTTTCGACCTAGAGGTTTAAGCTACAAGTCAGTATATCAACGTTAGGACGTGCAGCTCTATGGTAGCCACTACTAACCAACAAGAGGTTTATACGCCATTTGTTCTGGAGCCCATGTGCACCACTGGTTTGGAACCAGGGTTTTCCAACCCCCCTAAATGAATCCTTCATACTCACCAACTCGGTTAGAACGCAGGACACTCGCTGTCCGTCCTCTTAATTTCGAACATGGAACATCAATTACAGTAATAATAGTATTAGTAGGAATAACAAGAATATAAATTTACGGTCAGTACAAGTTAATAATGCAGACAGTCAGATAATAAATAATGAGTCTGCTACTTGCACCAGCATTAAAAACGAAAGAATTTCTATTATTTTAATCGACAATAGCACATTCTACAGACACCAATCTTCCACAAACTTCAACTAGAACATGTCAATTTCAACCACAAAAATGATTAAAATGATTTAAGTCTCTAACTGCCAATGCATACGTAACCAACAATTGATTCCAATCTTAATTCAGTAAAGGAAATAGAATAACATAAAACTTTCTTTCATAAATGTGAACACCGTTATAAATTGGCAATAAAAGATGGAAGGTAGTTCATGGATCGGTTTACAACAGTTTTCAATACAAACTAACTAATAATTCTTAACTAACAGTTAATAAACAGCCTACTTCTTATTCCAAAGTATTTCACAAAACAGATCGAGTTGGATTTATTTTTTTCTTTTGAACATGACTAGTAAACAGAAATGAAATTTAAATTACTGCCTCAAATTAAATCTTCACAAGAAATACTCACAACTGTATCAAAAAGTGATTTAGAGAAAGAATACTTGGTAATTTCTTCCAGCATTGCATGACCAATCTCACCGGGATACGTTTCCTAAAATATCAAATTTTAATAATGAAACAGAATTGAAATTATGCTTAGCTTATCAATCAAAACACCAGTAACTGAAATATGTTATCACTTTAAAATTCGAGTTTATCAACAAAAATATAAAATAAACTAATTGGAATACTGTTACAAAAAAATTGAAACAAACTGTAAAATTATGATAAATGAAAAACGAAAGAGTACAGTACGGTTGTACTGTATAAGAACAATGATCGTTATACTATACATACATATATGCTACAACAATCAACTTATTTCGTTCAACTAACTACTATATGACATTAGTTGTTGTGTTGATTGTTAATAGTTTGTAGGTTACTGGTTTTCGATCCTAGGTGTCTCCGAAGCATGGCTTGTGTATCGTGGGACAACCGAGTAAGCAATGCTGTCGTTAGGAAACGAGTGCTAGGTAAGGACTCCAAATAGGCAGATAAAGTATTGGGATGCAGATCAGTTGAGGTGGTTGGGACATGTGTTACGTATGCCTAACCACCGACTGCCTCGACGAGCTATGTTTTGAGGTGTAGGAATAGGTTGGAAGAAAGCTAGGGGCGGCCAGGACAACCCATGGCAGAAATCCATGAAGTAACCGACAAGTGGACTAAGTCATGTCGGTGGGTGTCGACTACCTGGTTGGGGTCCGCCAGATGATAGTAATCGATGGTTGGAGATTCTGAATGACATGGCTCAAAACCGTTTGCAATGGCGCAGGTGCAATACTATGGGATTTCAATTGACAATTCCATTTATCTCTCTGTGCTCGCGTGGTATGGCAGCATGAACTAATTTACGTACGTATGTACGAAGTTCAACGTTGCTGTTGATTGATTGACATAGTTCAAACCAACCAGGATCCAATAACCAGAGCTCTTCCACGGTCAGTGGGCAGCCGGGAAGTAAAATCCGCCCTCATACACGTAAAACCACACGAAATCAAGAAAACAACCAAGATCTCATAGTTTATGTTCACATTTTTACGTAACCATAGTAAATCATTTCATATCTGCTGTTATTTTATAGTCAATACTGGAAAATCAATATATGGAAAGCTAAAAAAAGGTTCAGTAACTTTTATTCATTACAATACATTAACTTAGGTGATGTTTACCCCACAATTGCATCTGGTAAGATCACAAGTACTTTAATCTAGAGATAACTAAACACACTAATGATTTTTCATACATCTATCTGGTCAACAAATGCTATATGCATAACAGTTAAACAACGAAACTGAATGTAATTGTATTTTATGCATTACTTTTAACTGTCTGTTAGAGGCATCTATGAAATTACAGAATGAAGTATTACATTCTAAATATCGTAAAGTGAATTAGACATAAGTATACAGTGGTACTGTACAGTGACAGAGCAAAAGATCCTTTCCAAATTAAACAAATAATTAGTTAAGTATACCTATTTATAGACAGAAACAAACGATCCAACAATGCGTCAACCTTTACATTAATAGATGACCATTTGACAAGTGAAATTATGACGTAAGTTTAAATGGTTCTTACTTTAGTATATATAATCCACAAAATGAAACTTAAAATAATGTCGAAAAGAACAGCAAGCAGAAATGTACGTCGTACTGGAGATGATCTCTGTTCATCAGGAAGTCCTTCAATTACAGAGGTAGAAGCCGCCAAATTAATACTTCTAGTAGAAAATAAAGATATATAATTCATTACTTTAAGAATGTAAGGGTATACTAACGTTTAAATATTTACTCTGTTATTGTCCCATCTTGAAATTACAATTATCCAAGAATGATGATGTCACAGACAAAAAAAATAGTTCCCAAAGATGATGCTGATTACGAATTGACTAGAAATAAATGGACAGTACACATCAATTAGTAGTAAATCGCGTTCGACGCATAGTATATTAAAAAAAGGCCGTAGAAGTGAAAAACTACTAGTAAACAGCTTTTCGGTGTATCATTTAGTGAATGTCCAATAAAATTCTGTTCATAATCAAAAATTCTTTATACTGAATAAACTTAGAAGAAGAACCAATCTTTGTAGTATGTAATCTTAATGAGTATGCCCTAGCTTTATAAGATTTTTGCGCTCATAGTTGTTTACATTTTTACATCAACCGTGTATCCTTGGACAGCCGAGTAAGCAATGCTGTCGTTAGGAAACGAGTATTAGGTAAGGATGGCAGATCAGCAGATGAAGAATTGAAACTTCATCAGTTGAGATGGTGGGGACATGTGTAACGTATGCCTAACCACCGACTGCCTCGACGAGCTATGTTTTGTGGTGTAGGAATAGGTTTGAAGAAAGCTACCTGGTCGTGGTCTGCGAGACGATAGTAGACGATGGTTAGAGGCGTTGAACGAAATGGATCAAAATCGTTTGTGATGGCGCATTGTGTTCTCGCAAATTCTAACCTTCTGAATTCCTCATGAACTTTTTTGTTCTCTCTCCTCTCTTTTTTAAATCGACGTTCCCCATCACCTCTGTCTTTTTCTTTTTGAGTTTCTCTCACCGAATTATACTTCTCGAATAATATCTTCGAACCCTAATCTTCTCCATTACCAGTAATACTTCTACCATCTCTACCACTATGGGATTTGAACTGACAGTTGCATTTATTCAACCTTGTGAGCTTAAGAACACCTATCTGCATATTCCCCGACAATTTTACACTACTACTGGATTTGTAACCGCAATTCGTTGAAATTACTTTTCATATATTAGTATAATTGTGGAAGTCAGTCGGTCAGTTACAACGTAGAACTACGTACGTACGTACGTACATCAGTTCAAGTTGCCATACCACGCAAGCACAGGGATGTCATTATCACTTCGAATCCCATAGTAGTAGAGATGGTACAAGTATTGGCGGTAATCGGAGAGATTAGGTTTCGAAGATATTATTCAAGACGTATAATCTAGTGAAATAAACTTAAATAGTAAAGGTGATCAATAATTCAGGACCAATAATTCTCTTAGGATATTGGATCGATATCCTAACAGAGACGCAACACACATTGATGGCTCGGGAGTTCAAAGTTCTAGCTAATGAAGCCTGTTGCCTTATTTGCCACAAGGTTCGAACATTACCAGCTCGAATATGTAGTTTAGAGTGGGGTTTCAGCAAGACAGGAATAACGTTTCGTGAACTCGCATCGTTTGCATTAGCGGTACGGGGTGATAAAGAAATGTGAGAAGAGTTATTCATGGAGATAAGAGCGATGTTAGTGGATGTAGGAAGAATTTGATTGTGACCAATTCGGTCTCGTGTGCCTGAACGGGAATGAGGGTGGTTGTCACTTCCCGGCTACTCACACCATGGAAGGGTGTTTCCTGAGCAACCTGAAAAAGAAGGTGGATTAATGTCAGTTTTAGAGACCTGCGAGTGTGACCCCAGAGTCCAAGGGACAACTGCTTCAGGCCGATCACGCACGGCCTTTTTATGAAAGGTTTTCACATCAGCACAAACTTCAGATAGAAGTGAAGCATTCGAATTTCTCCATGTTTAACCTGTGGCTTGTTCTGCTAACCTCGATCTTGATTGGTTGCTGTTGACCTTAAACCTGTCGTTGTTTGCACCTTTGCTTTGATTGTATCTCCCTTTTGGTCTGTTTCTTGATCCTATGCCACCTATGATTTTCCTGATTGGTTGATAAATTGGGTCAATCTCGATGTGTTTGTTGATTGCTGATTGACTTGAGTGCCAAGCTTCTAAAAACTCCCTAGTGTTCTTTGTCCTCCCCCAACCCAGTATTTCCACATTGTTCCAATCGAATTTGTGTCCATAATTGTCGGTGTGTATTGATATATCTGAAGTTCGTGCTGATGATGTTGTTCAGAAGAACAATGAAAGCTCCACAACCGAAACTTCCAGCTCAGAGAACCAAACACCACCACCACAATCATCCATCTGAGCTACAAATCTTCTCCACCATCTCAAGGTTTTCACAGCATTAGATTCGCTATTTTAAAGCTCTTATTGGGCAGCCCTTACCGATGGAGATGGAAATCCGTGAGGTAAGGTGAGGTGTAACATTTTTATGGTCGACGTTTCCTAACCCTTCCTTTCTTGTGTGAAGGCAGCACCGCTGCAGATGCTGGTTGTGCGAGGGAAACACCTTACTGCCGTCACACCTCTCTGCAGTCAGCAGTACGACTTCGCCCTCAGATCTTGAGTAGCTGCTTTTAATCTCATCGTCCTCCGATCGACCTGACTGGCATGGTAGAACCTACAGGAAAACATATTTCAGCCAATATAGCTCGGTTGGGTCACCACGATAGGCAAGCCCGACCACCACGTCAAGGTAGCAGCTACGGTCGGGATAGTTGCAGAAGTATATATATATTTGTACCTACAAACATGCAACCTAATCGCGGCGAGTAGTATGCATATGTATTTGCGTTCTATTAACTCATTGTTTTCGGAGCAGTTGCTTGCTCAAACATACATCAGACCCCGAGTAATTTGTGAAACAGCCTAGCAATGAACCTTATCAATATAGTAGTAGTTGTTGTTGTTGACATCAACTCAGGAAAATTTGACGAAATAGAAACTATCAACTCCACAGTTTATCTTAACTCATAATACTAACGTCCTATTTCTCACTCAATTTTACTACTGCCCATTAACAACATTAGCCACTTACCCTTTGACGGAGGTTAGTTTTCCCTCTCTACAACAAATTATTTTCAAAAAACTTATTTTTTTCGCATATAAAAACGGATATTCTCAATGATAATTGCTATTAATATTATTTTCACGATAGCTATAATGTTTTTACACAGGATTTTAGCTCAATGACGAAAATTGTTACTTTAGGGCAAAATTTTTAATTCTTCTTGCATGATCTTTTCAACTGAACTAATGATGCATTTTACTAGTAGTTGGGACGTAAAATCCACATTATCCGATAAATAACACTGGTTACTTCAACTAGAATTTTTGTGGATATACTTCAATATTTTGTCTAATATAACGCAACATTCATAGACTTATAGTTGTATAACCTTGAGAATTCATCACTCAAACATTATTTGTAATCGGATATTAAAGTAAACAATAAAATGAATCAATAAAAAGAAATTACCAAATATGAATGGGATTAGGGCGCCTGTATCATTATTACTAATTCCCAGTTATGAAGCCAATGGGTTTTTGGTAACTAGTCCTAATAGTCCAGACATCTTAAACAGGTTTTTATCTTTCAAACGAATCAGAACACAGGTCGATAACGTTATGGATAAATGATATAATGGTCTATTGGCTTTTACCCTGTTGCTAGCTGGTCTATAGTTATTAATGTTCTGACTGATATCCAGTATTTCTAATAGTGTTTACCTTAAATCTATATGTATGTTTCATCATGCTTTTAGCTATTTAAGATGAACGCATGCTAATTATTGATCTGTAGTGAGCTAAGAAAAAAAAGCACATCGAACTCACTCAGAACGTCCAAATAATAATCCAAATTGATTATTGTAAAGTGGGGGGAAAGCGACATTTTCACCTAGGTAGAAGAAAGATAATTGCTTACAATGAATACGTAAAAATCGTAGAAATTACCATCACCTATTCGGAAATTAAAATGGGATTTTTATAGGTTATGATATGAATATTCGGGTACCATACGCCAACACAATAAGTAACAGGTTTATATAAATTCAGCCTACTATGGTTTGAGCAGCCGGTAGTGACAACAGTGTTCATACACTATATCTAGTTTCCTGTTTAATATAATAAACTGAAAGGGAATGCTTAAATGTCTCCCATGTATTCTGAAAATGAGAAACTAAGTAATATTGACAGTATTACCTACATGGTTTTCGTAAAAGTGAAGCAGTTTCACGAAAATATTAGTCGAAACTATCGAATGTATTGAACATATGGACATACTTCGAAGCAGGATATTGGGAATTTTACAGTTTAACCACTTCAATATCGAGAAGACTTATTTTTGTGGTGAATGTAATATTGAACCCGGGTTAATAGTGAATTCTCTTTTCATGGTTTTAAATAAGTGGATAAAATTTAGTCTATTGTGGTTAGTTAACCCTAAATTTCACCAAAACTTCCACTAATAGTTCCTATGCACAAACAGTATTGTTAATGCCTACAACTAGATAAGACAGGTTCAACTATCTTGAAGACAATGAGAAGTTATAATGATTTACTGAACATTACTTTTGCACTATCCCTAATTGGAAAGTCTTAATAGAGTGACACAGGTATTCTAGAAGAGTATAATATAAACTGACCAATTTGCGACAGTTTCCAGGCGTAAGAAAACTTTCAGATCGAGACAATGAAAATTTATGTGGGGTCCGCATTATGTACGCCAGTTACCACCCCCCTACGGAGCATAGGTCAGCGACCAGTATTCTTGTATACTTGTTAGAATAAAAAATAGCAGAATACCAACTAGTTCTGGCCATAAATGCATATCAGTTTAAAAAGTAAACTTAAACGGTGAGTCTTTCTATTATTCTCTATTAAGCCCAATTAAATTCTAGGATCATCAAAAATTCAATTATTATTTCGTTATTTGCAAGCAAAACATTATGGGTTTCTCAAACAAGAATAACCAAACAATAAGCATTTCACTTACTTGGTTCTCTCATTTCAAAATCATTAGTCCTTCATTCACAACATCAAGCGGCTAATAAGCTGATGTACGCACACAATATCTGAGTTTAGGGGGTTAAAAGTAAACAGTGAGTTGATAAATAGTTCGGCAAGAAGGGAAAATATGAATCAGATTGATTGAGTTAAATTAGAGACATGAAGTTTTTACGTCTAGTCTCTGGAAAGTACCCGTTTAGCATGAAGGTACGTTGAGTACTGGCGAAGTATGAGGAGCAGTGTGATATTAGCTGGAAGAGAAAAGAATAGAATAAATGAGAAAATTACTCAGGAAGAGCATAGAATGCACTTACAATGAGTAAGGAAATCGATCGACTATGATTAAGAATAACATAAACGTAGGGTCAAGATAAACTGACAATCGAAACTAATAGTTGGTAGCGCTGTCGGTCGAAAAGCAGCGCTAGGTCCAATATCTCTTTTTTCACGAGCTAGGATAAACCAATTGATTTCTTTGCGCCCGATTCTTATTCTTTCGGTCTAGCCACTTGATTGTCTAATTCTAGTCAGTTAACAGTTGGTTGTGAGTTTGAATGTCTCAGGATTTGAATGAAAACGTTTGTTTCATGACAGTAGGGTTTGTGGATACCAGCAGCCATCACATTAGCAGACCGGAGATAAGTTGGTTGCAATGTGGAGGTGTGGTGTTTGAATGAACTAGTGACTTCTTGGTTGTTGTTGAATACTTGATTTCGAATTCTAAATACAGTACATTCGTTCGTGCTTATCTAGTAGTTCTCGATCCACTTACGTATTTCTGGGATTATTAGTTTATTCTAAAATACAAATACTTCTAATTATCATATTGGCGTCGCGATGGAGCTGGTGATGGAACAATTAGATATTCATTCTACTTCTGAAGCTTTTGACGATTATTTGGAAAGGTTTGAAATCTGGAGTATGACCAAGAAAGATGTTAAAGATGATAAAATTGTTGCTCATTTCCTGACATTCATCGGAAGAGAAGCGTACAGCTGATTAAAAACTTTGGCATATCCAGAAAAACCTATCTCACTTCCCTACGCAATGCTTAAGGAGTTATTATTAAATCATGTAAAGTGCCCTAGTTTTGAATGCCGTGAAAGGGTGAAATTTCGTAAGATGATTCGTCAAAATGACCAAAAAGTTAAGGAATTCATTCTTGAATTGCAGAAACAAGCTGTCAAATGTAATTTCGGTGATCAACTTCATGTGCAACTGAGAGACCGATTAATTACAGGAATTAACATACCGAGTTTGGAAAGAGAGCTGTTAAGAATGTCGAACTGCTCCTTTCAAGATGTTAGAACAGCGTGCATTAACTACAAGGCGTTGAATGAACTTGATACTCAGTCGATGAAGATTTCTAATACTTTGATTAGTTGTCATGATGAAATACAATCTCAGGGTCAATCAAAATTGTGTTCGTTTAACAGTGGTTCCTATTCTCGTGTAAATATGAACGTTGTCTCAAAAAAGAATTACAAAGGAAATCAAAAAGGTGAGACCAAGTTTGGCAAACGTTTATCATGTTGAAAACTTCATTATCGTATTTCATGTGCATTTCGCAATGCTTAATGTTTTAGATGTGGTAAGATAGGACACATTCAAGCAGTATGCAAAGCTACTATTCATTTTACCTCAAGTAGTACTAAATCTTGTAATTTAGATCCCAATAACTCAGCTGATCCTAATGATCATTTATCTTTGTCTACCATTTCGAAAGGTAATGCTCATATTCAAAAGCGATTATATACATCGCTTGGTTCATGTCATGACTTTATTGTGGACACAGGCAGTATAGAGTCCATTATTTCATTCAAGAACTTGAAATCGTAAGATCCTAACTTTGTGGTTCGACCCACTGAAGTATCAATATTGGGGATTACTGGACACAAACTGCCTATACGAGGATGTTGTGAATTGCTAATAAGATATGATTATTCCTCATACATACCTTGTGAATTTTTAGTTAGCGAAACAGGACTATCAATACTTGGTTTAAAGAATTTGAAAAGGCTTAAAGTGGAGTTGTCTTTCCTAGTTTCTAAAGAAAATTCTGATGCTTTACTTAAAGATTTGATAGCCACGTGTGCTAAGTGCAGTGGAGGTGTGAAAATTCAGCCTATAAAACTTCAAGTACAGGGTGATCCAGTCTTTCTCAAAAGACCAATAATTCCTTATGGTCTTCGAGATGCAGTGCATACGACTTTGAATGATGTGTGCAAAAGTCATAATTGAACCGGTTCAGTCTTATGCATGGGGTACTCCTATTGTTACGCCACTGAAATCGGATGACAAGACTCCTAGAATATGTGGTGACTATAGACTAACATTGAACTCCCGTTTGTTGAAGCAAACATGCACGACGGTAGAGGCTGAAGATATCCTAAATCGACTTCATGGTTCTAAAGTGTTCTCGAAAGTTGACCTAAAAGATGCTTATCTTCAAATCCCTTTAGATCAATCCTCATCTATTTTGACGACAATTAATACTCCTTTTGGTCTGTTTAAATACAATCACTTTCCATTTGGGCTAAGTTGTTCTCCAGCCATATTCCAGGAAGTTATGAATAAGGTGGTTAATGATCTTGAAGGTGTTGAAGTTTATCAAGATGATCTGATTGTTCATGGTGCTGATAAGGGAGTTTATGACCAGAGACTTATTGCCTTATTGCGTCGTTTAATTGAGAAGAATATTACAGTAAATCCAAATAAGTGTTCATTTAGTGTATCTAGCTTCGAATGTCTTGGATACCTAGTTGATGGTAATGGTTTTAGACCAGATATGAAACGACTAGTTCCACTGACAAATGCACCGTCTCCAAAAAATCTTACGGAACTACGTTCACTAGTGGGTGCTCTTCAATACTATTCCCGTTTTATTCCTAATTTTTCTTGTCGTGCAAACTGTTTATTTAATATTTTGACATCCAATTCATTCAAAGAGGTGAGGAACAGGAGTCATGCTTACGTAGTCTACTACAGTTTCTTCAAAGTGATGCTGTTCTTCGAACTTACTCCCCTAGTGTACAGTCGGTGCTTATCACTGATGCATCACCTGTGGGTATTGGCGCAGTTTTGGAACAAGAAGGTAGACCAGTTATTTGTGTTTCACGCAAACTTACTGTTACTGTACAAGGCTATTAACAGACTCAGCGAGAGGCATTAGCTGTGTTTTGGGCTGTTAAAAGACTTCATAAATATTTATTCGGAAAGAAATTCACTATTGTTACTGATCATGAGGCTTTACAGTTTATTTATCATCCTGAAAAATCCTTAGTACGTGCCTCAGCTACTATGGTTCAACGATGCAGTATTGCTTTGAGTGCCTACGACTATACGGTTCAGCACAGGGGTGCCAAACAAATTCAACATGTTGACTGCATTTCTCGACAGTCATTACAAGATAAACCTGTTAATACTTCAGACTGTTTGTTGGTGAAACGTCCAGATCTCATTAGAGAAACCCGCGGAAACTTTGGATGTATAATTAATGCTATACGGAAAGAATGGAATGCTAATCTGAAACGTAGATTTCCTATCTATTTTTCAAAGCGGGATGAGCTATCCACTACTCCTGATGGTATTTTGTGTTCAAACGATCGTGTTGTTATTCCTCCTTCATTGCGTAAATCTGTCCTTGAAGGTCTTCATAGTGGACATTTAGGTGTTGAGAAAATGAAGTTCTTGGCGAGGCTCACGTGTTGGTGGCCAGAGATAAATGCAGATATTTGTCGTACAGCAAACAATTGTGTAAAGTGTCATAAGCTGAAAAATCAGCATTCGAAGTGGACTCCATGGCCAGTCCGTCGGAGGCCTGGCAGAGAATTCATGCAGACTATTGAGGCCCGTTCCTTGGCAAATACTATGCACTTGTAGTCATTGATTCTTTTTCAAAGTGGCCTGAAGTTTTTTTCACAACTTCACCAAATTCTGACTTCACAATTAAAGCATTAAGAAAGGTGTTCAGTCGAAAATGGGTTCCAAAGGTGTTATTGACTGATAACGGCTCTAATTTTGCTGCAGATGCAGTTACTACCTGGTTAAATGGTATAGGGTGCAAGCATCTGTTTACTGCTCCCAGATATCCTTGTTCCGATGGTCAGGCAGAAAATTTTGTCAGGTCGTTGAAAACTGCTATTGATTCTATTGCAGCCTCCACATTTAATGAGCTGGAGAGGGTAGTAGATACCTTTCTACTGCAATATAGAAATGCCAGACACTCGGTGACGAAAGAGACTCCATCAAAGCTATTAAAAGGAAGAATTCTTCGGTCGAATATGAGATGTTTGGAGTCTGCAGAAGTTACATATTATCGTGGCAATGATCTTCAACCATCCACGGGGAATGTTCAGAAGAATGTCGGGAAATCCATGGTGTGACTTCTAGATATCAATGACTTAAATACACACAATCGACAATTGGAACCCATTGGAACGGCCACTGTAGAAATAAATTTACAGTCTGGAATCATTCCTATGAACGTTTATATTCTGGAATTATCTATTACCTTATGATTAGAAGACCAATTACAGTTGGATTATTAAGAATTATAAAGAAACATTTTGAATTTTAATCGTTTATCACACTAGACTTTCTTGAAAGAAGAATTTTGGATTATTTATCGTATTTTCGTATTCGAATTGTATCTTGGAGGAAGAAATTTAGATCTTGGACATTTCTTCCTGAACTGATCTGTGGAATTACTATATTTTGTATTTGTTATTTTTCTTCCATTGAACTTCATTTATGATGTCAAGTCGCAAGAAGTCAAACATGAGGAGGGTGGAAGAGCTCGACGGATCCCAGAACGTTAAGCAAGTCGTTAATGATGAATTTTTTATGGGTAACCCACATGTTATGTCTGATACTTATTATTGTAAGTCACCTTTGGCAGGCATTAAGGAACCAGGATTAAGTGAGAGTTCTAAGGTACCAGAGACGGATCAGATACTTAAGACACCGATAGTAGGCTTAGAACTACCTAAGGTCGAAC